CGATTACGTCATTAAAATTAATAATTTAATAAAATAAATTTTTTATTTACGTAATTAATTCTGTAAACAAATCAAGAAAAAAAAACATTTGTTTATTGACACGATTTTAATTTTTGGCGCCAAAATTTTTTTTTTTTTAGAATAAATAAATTTTGTTAAAGTGTTTAATGTCAAAGGATAAGGTTAAGTTTATTAATTAACACTTTTGAAAAGCATAGAGTAATAATATTAAGAGGCTAATCTTCTGACACGATAAAAGTTATAACTAATTGTTTTTTACGTGTGGGCGAGTAAGTGTTAAATTGTTTTTGTCAATTATTATTTTTAAATATAATTTATAATAATAATAAATGTCGAAGTTTGTTTAAAAAATTTAAAAAAAAATAGTCTGGAAAGAAAAAAGGATTTACCGCATAAATATATACGTATAAAAAAGAAAAGGTAAAAAAAAAAAAAAAAAATTTATAATAAAAATAAAAGACAATTTTTTTTTTTTTTTCTTATTAAAATATATATCATCCCGAGTGCATAAATTTTTCGCGTCGTTTTTCTTCTTTTTTTTTTTTTTTTTTTTTTTTTTATTTTCTTTTAAAAAACTCTTTAAATAAATTGCGTATATAATTTTTTTTTTTTTTTACAAAAAAAAAAAATAGGGGAGGAAGGGGAAAATTGATTCAAAAAAAAAAAAGGGGGAAATTTGTTTTCTAAATTACATGAATTATTAATTATTATTTAAATTAAACAAAAAAAAAAAAAAAAAGGAAAATTACGTATAAAATTATTATTTAATTTTAATCTCGTTAATTCTTGTCCGTGTGTCCGCTTTTTACTCCGGGAATTCATTAAAAGCCACATTAAAAGGAAAAAAAAAAAAAAAAAATTTTTTTTTTCCTGTTCTTTCTTTCTTTCGGGTGGTTTTCGTTGGTTTTTTGTGAAAGTCTGTGTAAAACGTAAAAAAATTTTCAAATTAAACAATTTTTTTTTTTTTTTTTTGTGAAACCGTTGAGGCTTAGAAAGGCTTGTGTGTAAAAGAAAATGATTTATTGTATAAACGTCCAGGGAAATTAGAGGACGAGTTTTTAGTATAACGCAATTTCCAGAGCGCAGTTACGCTGGAGAAAAGATGTCGCTCATCTCGTTGTACGCAAGAGTCTCAGTCAGCGGCGGTTTTCCGAAAAGATTTTACTGTTGTGTGTCGTGACCTCGACAAAAATGCCTTCTGGCAATATGTGAATGTTTCTCACGCGATTTTCATCTTTCTTGGTGTTCTTTACAAAGGAAAATACTAAAATGCAATCAAACCATGCTTTAATTATATTTTCCCCGTCTTGACAGGAAACCATTAAAAAAAAATTTTCTTTTTTTTTTAATTTAATTTTCGTTTAATTTTTTTTTTTTTTTTTTTTTTTTTACTAAATCAAAAAAAAACTTTTTTTGAAAGAAATTTTTTTGTTCGAATTATATTTTTATAAAGAGAGAGAGAGAGAGAGAGAGAAAAAAATATATATTGAAAATCCCGAATGACAATGGGCTTAAGAAAAAGTGGCCATCATCATTTGGTTTTTTGTTTACTTTGTCTTTTGACTGTTTGCTGCCAAGGTAAGGTAGACAACCACCTGATTTTCTTTTCTTTTTTTTTTTTTCAATAAATTTTAATTAACAATTTTTTTTTGTATCGTTTGATTTAGTATTTACTAAAAAAAATATATATCTATATATTTTTTTAAATACTATTATATAATAATTTAAATGCTCCATCAAGATAATTATTTCATTGTTTTTAAGATTAACTATCATCTTGATAGTAGATTGTTGTGACGATAAACTCCCAGACAATGAGCAGAAGAGATATATATCTCTCTTTGTTATACAAATGCCTTGTAATAATAATAATAATAATAGTCTGATGTTGATTTATTTGTTGTAAATCAAAAAAACAAAATAATAATAATTAATTATTTTATTATAAAATATATTGTGTGAATTCAATTTTTCCCCCCTTTTTTTTTTTCAATTTTCTTTATTAAAAAAAAAAAAATGGTGGAGGGCAGATTATTATAAAAGTTTGTCTCTTTCCAAAAAAAAAAAAATTAAAAATTAAATTAAATAAATAAATATATATGTGGTAGAAAATTTTTTAGAAAATTAGTGTTGTTAATGTGGTAAAAAAAAAAAAAAAGAGCTAAAATAAGCAGTTTTAACTTTTATCCAAATTTAAATCTTTTTTAATTATAAAAAAAAAAAATTTACATTAAATAGAGACCATTCATAGGTTAGTTTACTTAAAAGAGAGAGAGAGAGAGAGACACACACTATTTAAAATATTTTTCATATGGGTTAAAAAAAAAAAAAAATTGTTTCTTTTTTTTGTTTAAACTTATTTTTTTTTTTTACACTTAAAGTAACCAGATATTTTATAACAAAATGAAAAACTAGACGTTGTATAAAATATCCAAAAGTTAAAAATGTACACTTGGCCATATGTTTGCTTTTGGGAATACTAAACAGCGTAAGGAGGTTGTTTTAACATGACTAAAATATATTTTTTAAACAAATAATAAAAAAAAGGAAAAAAGGAAAAAAGGAAAGGGAAAAAATTTAGCTTTCAATTTAATTCAGATTATTTTTAGGTTTTTTAGTTTTCGTCAATCGATTTTAAAAATAATTAATAAGAAAAAAAATAATAATAATTTTTTTTTTCTTTAATAATATATAAATACAAATTTGTAGTTGGAAAACCACAAAAGAAAAGATAATATAAATTAATTAAGAGCCATTAAGCAAGAGCAATAAATGACCTTTTGCCCCTCCTTCCTTATAAAATTTATTGGTGGCGTTGTTCTTGAAAATATATTACATTAAGAAAACATTGGTAAATTTTTAAGGTGGTCACCATTAAAATCCATGAAAGGAATTTGGTCGACTAAAACAATAAATAATAATTTTTTTTTATGTCGTTTTCCCTCCCCTCCCCCTCCCCCCGCCCATTTCGAAAATGCCTTTAAAAAATTTTAAACAAATTTTGTAAATTGTATTTACATTTTGTTGAGACGACGATGCATTAAAATTTTTTTTTTTTTTTTTTCAATGGGAAAAATGTTGTCACGCTTTAATTTATTTATTAAAATACACACACTCACACGCACACAGACACACACATATATACGTATGAAAAAAAAAAGAAAAGAAAATTATTAATAATAAACCATTCGTAAATTTTTTAAATGACGTCACATTTTACGCTTTTCCAACAACAAAAAATTTTCCATCCACCATAAAAGTGCAAATATTTGCCTAATCAACTTGTGCGACATATAAGTACAACAAAAAGTTTATTTAATTTTTTTAGGGCGAAATTTTTTCTTTCTTTTTAAATAAATTTTATTAAATTATATTCAATATTTAAAATTTAAAATTTTTAAATTTAAAGAAGAGGGGAAAAAAAATTTATTTATTTATTTTTTTTTTAAATGTGTGAAATATTAATTAATAAAATCAAAAAAAAAAAAAAAAAAAGAAAAAAAAGTTTAATGTCAATGTTTTTAATTAATTTACATTTGAGTTCACCTCTCCCTCCCTCCCCCCCCCCCGCCCGATAGCATTTTAATTTAATTTAATTATTTAACGTGTAATTTTTATTTTCTTGAACAAAATAAATTTGATTATTGTTTTAAAATTAAATTAATAAAATTAATTTTTTTAAAAAAAAAACAAAATATTCGTCACTTTATAAATAATAATTTTTTATTTATTTTTTGATTTCGATAAATAAAAAAAAAAGTAAAGGAAAAATGTTTTAAATTTACCTTTACAAAAAAAAAATATATTTTTTTTTTCCTCTTTAAAATTTCAGGTTAAAAATAAAAAATAAGCACTCTTTAAAATTATAAAAAAAAAAAAAAAAAAAAAAAAGAAGAAGAAAAAGATTAACGAGAATGTAAAAATATTACTTTAGGTAAAAGCTTTTTGTTATTCAGTATACTTTTAAAAAAACTCTTCTTTATTTTTTTAAAGTAAAATTTTTTAAAAGAATTTTTCATTCAAAGTGTAAGATATTTTTCTTTTTTTTTTTTTTAAATATTTAGGACAAGAAAACATCCGAAAAAAAAAAAAACAGTAAAAGCTCTAAACTTTCTTTTTCAAGTTTTACAAAAAAAAAAATTCAAGCAATTAAGAATTGTAAGATTTTTCTTCTTTTTTTTTTTTTAACATGTTCAACCTCATCAGGAACTTTTTTCTGATGGTTCATGTTAGACAAGTGATTAATGTTTAAAAAATTGACTACTTGTTTTCTTTTTTTTTTTTTTTTTAAACGTATGTGATATTAAACTGAAAAAGCAAGATATCTTAATTTTTTTTTTTTTTTTTTTTTTAAATTTTCAATTTATTTCTTCCTGTTACTATTCCAGAAAAAACCACAAATCAAGTTTTTTTATAAAAAAAAAAAAAGTTTGTAATATATATATATATATGTTATATGTCAGTTTTAACAGTTTTTTTTTTTTTTTTAACAAGTAGAGCGCTCTGGTGGTCAAAAAAAAATAAATTAGAGTTATTTACTTTATGGAATTTCGAGAGGAAAAATATATATACAGGTTTAAATGAAAAAAAAATAATAATAATAATTTTACTTTAAAAGGTTTCTTTTTTAAATTCGGTTTTGATTATTTTGTTCGACTCGAATGTTAAATAATTATGTTCTCCATGTTTGTAATTTTACAAATAAAACAATAATACAATAAATAAACAAAAAAAGAAAAAATGGCGGGGGGGGAGTTTATGTATTCAATAAAATTTTTCCGATAATTTTCTCTGATATGAAGGAGAGAAGGGAGGGGGAGGGAAAAATGAATGAAACCAACCATATGTTGTTGAAAATAATCGTTTTAAAAGATAAAAATTTTAATTTTAATTTTATTAATAATAATAATTTTGTCTCGTGTGCTCTATGACAAAAAAAAAAAAACGTGGTCGCAACGATTTTTATTTTATCTATGAAAATGATTGTTTTACATTATTGAGTTTCGTTATTTTTATCGCATCCTGTGTTTTAAATTTTGTTTGTTTTCTTTTAATATTTTCATTGTTACTTTTTTTTTTTTTTTGTTGAAATTTTTTGCATAAACAAGGGAAATTTAATATTCGTTTGTTGTTTTTTAGTTTCGCCTCGAGGGTGAATATCGTTTTTTTTTTTTTTTTTTCTTTCATTCTTTTTTTTTTTTGTTCGGTTAGTAAATTTTTTTATTAATTATTATTATTATGTGACGCATTTTTCCTCGCGGCTTTGCTCATGGTGTTGAAAATTAAATAAAATTTTCTTAGTTTTGCCATTTTTACAAACACAAATATATATTCATAAACATTATAAATTTTTATTATTATGCTACCCTTACTTATAATAAATTTACTCATTAATTTGGTTTTTATATTTAAAAAAAAAAAAATATTAAGTGGAATGTAATGTGAATAAAATTCCACGATTGAAAATATGTGTGTGTGCGTGTGTGTGCGTGTGTACATAAACAAATATATTTTTACTTGAGGTAAATTGACTAATGAAAATGGAAAATCAAATAATATGATTCAAATTGAAAACAACAAGGTTGTTTTTTGCAAAATGTTGTTCGATCAAAATTTTCTAATTTAAAAAAAAAGCAATTAACCTTACCTTTCCATTCGTTTGTTTGTTCGTTTGTTTGTTTTTTTTTAATTTACTCTTTCTTTTTTTTTTTTTTTTTTTAATGATTTTTTTAGTATTAACTGATGGTCCGAGATTTTTGGAGCCAATACCTAATGTAACAGTGGCTTTAGGCCGAGATGCTTCATTACCTTGCGTTATTGAAAATTTAGGGAGTTATAAGGTAATAATAATAATAATAAATACATATTAGTCCTTTTTAATTATAATAATAAACTGGTGCCATCAGGCAAGAGTTTTCATAAATGATTTGGCAATTGATTCATATTATAACAAATATAAATGTTATGAAGAACAGTTTGGATGTATATTACCTTTGTATAAGTTTGTTTTGTTGTTTTGAATGGAAAGAATAGAAAAAGAAAAAAAAACTTATTTTTAGGTGGCTTGGATCCACATAGATAGACAAATGATTCTTACAATCCATAGATATGTTGTAGCTCGAGTACCAAGGTATAGCGTGTCTCACGATAGTCAAAAAACGTGGTTACTACACGTTTACGGTGTACAGCAAGAAGATCGAGGTTATTACATGTGCCAAGTAAACACAAATCCAATGATAAGCCAAGTAGGTTACTTACAAGTTGTCGTGCCTCCAAATATTGTCGACGAGGAGAGCACACAATCGGCTGTTGCTGTCAGAGAACATCAAAATGCTTCTTTGACATGTAAAGCAGAAGGTTTTCCCGTACCTAAAATAACGTGGAGAAGAGAAGACGGTCAAACAATTCCTATCGATAAGAGAAAAAAAGGTAAAAACAAACAAACAACAAAAAAAAAAAAATTATTTAAACAATTTTTGACTTGATCGTAGGTGAAATTTAAAATAGTAAAATATTTTAGAGAGAATATTTTAATGAACATTCTCAATATTTTTCTATTGTTTTTCGAAATACGTAGACGAGAACACATTTTGCATTTTAAACCGGAAAATAAAAATGATATGAAAACAAAAGAAAATCCTACCTTTGTCATTATTAAAATGTTTTCCTAATTTTTCTTCAGTTTCCTGTTGTATTCGTCTGAAAAAAACAAAAAAAGAAAAAATTTAGTTTCATTTTTTGAAACATTTAATGTAACCCATTTTTAAATTACACACAATGATAATTTATCATTAATAATAATAATAATAATAATAATCAATTTTACTGATTGAACTCAAATTCCATCACAATTTTTTATTATTATTATTATTATTCTTTAATAAATCAATTTAATAAATCAAATTTAGAAAAAAAAAAAAAAAAAAAAAAGAAAAAAAAACTTGAGAACGTGCTAAAAATATTTTTAAAAAAATAATAATAATAATGTTGAATTATATTAATTTTTATACTCAAAAAAAAAAAAAAAAGAAAAATTTATTTAATTAAAATTAATGAAAATAATTTAGAAAATAACATTGGTTGCATATAAAATAAGAATTTAAGTCATTGTCAAAGGTTACAAACTCCTTTTTTTTCCATTTAGATATTTATAAAGGATTAATATCATAATTTCTTACTTTTTTACATACACCATTAAATTATTAATCATTTAGTTTAAAAATGTAGAAAGAGCAGAAGAAACAAAAAAAATACACAAACATTATTTAAATATCGACTAAAACTTACATAAAGCAAAAAAAAACATAAATTTTTTTATTTTTTTTTGCTATAAACAACAGATAAAAAAAAGAAAATGAAAATGTTTTATTAAATGGGATAATTTTAAACCTCAAACAGATAAATGTAGCAAAATAGTTTTAAATTGAGTCATTAGACAAAGTCGTTTAAATTACCATAAATCAGTGAAAACAAAACCAAAGGAATGACAAGTTGTTAATTATAATATTTATTCTATATTGATAATTAAATTTAAAGTTTTTTAAACATAAAGAAAAACACAAAGTTTTGATTTTAAACAAAAAAAAAAACATAGAAAAAAAAGGTTTAAAATTTTTTAACAAAAAATCTCAATGATAACCTTATATATATATATATATATAACAAAAGGGCAAATTTACAGATCATTAATTTACATTTTTTTTTTTTTTTTTTTTATTGAATGAAAAACAAAAACAATCAAAATCAATTTTTAGTGAGAGAAAGAGAGAGGCATGGACATATATGCATGTTTTTTAAACATTACATTTTTTTTTCATTTGCATCAAACAATAAAAAAAAAAAAGAAAGCATAATAATTTATTATTATTATTATTTTTAGTAACTGTATATGATGGAGAAACTCTTAATTTATTAAAAATAAGCCGGTTAGAAATGGGTGCCTATTTGTGCATTGCTTCCAATGGAGTTCCTCCTTCAGTCAGCAAAAGAATTATTGTTGACGTAGAATGTAAGTAATTAATTTTCCTTTTAATTATTAAAATAAATAGAATTTTTTTTAATAATAATTCCAATAAAAAATTTCTTAGGTAAAAAGTTAAGATGCTTTTAAAATTAGATAATTTTTTTTTTAAAAATTAAAGGAGGAAAGGTTTTTTTTGGAATGGAAAATTCCATCATTAATGCTCCGTTCGTGCTTTGGTCAGCTTTGGAAAGGTCATAAAACGTGTTTTGGGCTTTAATTCAATCATTATTATTATTATTATTATTATTATTATTATTTGCTAATAGGATTGTTAGTATTCATTATGTTTCTTTTTCTAGATAAACGGTTAACGACTTTTCTCTTTTTTTTTTTTTTTTTTTTTATTTTTGTAACAATAATAAAGGGAGAAGAATAAAAACAAATAAAATGACCCTTGTTACATTATCTTTTGTTATTTTTTTTTTTTTTTATTTATGTTATAATCCTTCATTTTATTTTATTTTATATATATAGTTGAAAATTTTTATTGTTGTGCCAATTGTTTTTGTTTAGTTTCACCGATGATTTGGGTACCTAACCAATTGGTGGGTGCACCATCTGGTACAGACGTTACAATTGATTGTCACACGGAAGCTTATCCAAGAGCTATAAGCTATTGGGTTTTCGACAACGTCATGCTTCTCCCCACAAAAAAATACTCAACAGATATATCAGAAAATAGTTATAGAGCTCACATGAGATTAACAATAAAAAATTTACAAAATAAAGATTTTGGAAATTATAGATGTATATCAAAGAATTCATTGGGCGAAACAGAAGGATCTATTAGACTTTATGGTATTTATTATTATTATTATTATTAATGTTGTTTTTTTTTTTTTTATTCCATTGTTTGTTATATTTAACTCTTGGTAAAATTTGACCGTGTTAAAAATGGGAAATCATAAAATTTTTATTTGCCACTGCATTTTATGTCACATCAGGTTAACAAAAAAAACCCCCGGAAGTAGGAAAATATTCAACCCCTAAAATTAATTTACACAAAAGTAACATGTATGTTACATACATTGTTTAAAAAAAAAATAATTTTTTTTTAACCACCACCACCATAACAAAAGGTTAAAATTAAATTTTACTTTTTAATTTAATTTTATTTTATTATTACTTCCGGTTAAAATTTTTTTGCGTTTTTTTTAAATTTAAATTTCGAAGTTAAAAATGTGTACAAAAAAAAAATTGTAATTAATGATTGATTGAATGAATGAAAAAATTTTAAAAATAATATAAAAATATCAAGTTAAAGGGAAAAGTGTGGAAAATTTTCCAAATAATTTTCTGTTGAAAGGCATAAAATTTTATTTTAGAAAATTTTCCTTTCTATTTTTAAATATTAACATTATAAGATTTTTATTTATAAATTTTTTTTTTTTTTTTTTTATACGAAAACAAAAATGAAATATTAATTTAAATTTTAAAAATGAATTTTCTTTTTTTCTCTCTCTCTCTCTTTCCTTTGTCAGTAAAATTTAATGGAAGAAAAAGGAAATAAATAAATTATTGGTTTATGATTTTTTTTTTTAATAGAAATTCCACTGCCATCTTTACCATCGATACCAAAAGAAATTAAAAGTGGATCGTCTAGTGGTAGATTAGGTATAATTTATTATTATTATTATTATTATTATTAATTTTCTTTCAAATTAATTAATTAAAACGAAAATTGAAAATCATTCTCTTGTTGTTGTTGTTGTTTTAGAAAATTCATTGGTGAAAAACACCGATCCGATAAACAATCAAAAAAAATTAGATCCATTTAGAATATCTCAGGAAGAATGGCCGAAAAGGTCGTCAGGTGGAGAAAAAAAGGAAGAAAAAAAAATATTATTAACAACTAATTCTGATTCAATTAAAGGTTCAGGTAATTAACCGCCATTTTTTTTTTTTTACTTTTATTATTATTAAAAATCGAAAAAGAAATTTGTTAAACATAAAATTTTATTTTATTATTATTATTATTTTTTTTTTTTTTTAAAGGTAAAAAACTTTCCACAAAATAATAATAATAATAATAATAATAATTTTAACGTCTTCGATTCCATTAAAAAAAAAAAAAAATTTTTTTTCTCTCTCTCTCTCTCTCTTTTCCCTTTAATAAATTTATTTTTTACACTACTAGTAGTAAGTTCTAGAACAAAAAAAAAAAAAAAAAAAAAAAATATTTTCAACGAAGAGTTTTCCTTTTTTTTTTTTAATAATGAACGAGGGTAATTAAAAAAGTATGTTTCATTATTTATAAGGAAATGTTTTAAAAACATCTGCGAACTCAATTTTATTTTCCCTTTAAAAAGGAGGGAAAAAAAAAAAAAACTTCATTTTTTTCTCCTTCTTATTCTTCTTCTTCTTCTACTTCCTCTACTTTTTTTTTTTTCTGCACACTTCCTTTTTCCTTTCCTTTCCCCCCTCCCCTCCTTTTTTACTAAAACATCGTAAAAAGGAAAACAACAATAAAAAACAATAAAAAATATGTTTTTTATAATGAATTTTAGTCTTTTGCAATTATAAAACAGACAAATGAAAATTATTATTATTATTATTATTATGGTTAATGATTTTTTTTTTATTTATCGACTCGATGGAAAATTGATTTCCTTTGTAATAATAATGATAATGATAATAATTTGATTTTTTTACAGGTGTAAAACAATTTTTTTAAATTTATTGTTTGATTAATTATAAGGAAAATTAAATATGGCGGACGTATTACTTACACGTTATTTCATAATAATTGTCGTTAAATTTATTAATTAAAACACGGGGGAAGAAGGAGGGAGGGGGAGGGAGGGGGTGGAAAAACAACCGACCGATTTTTTTTCTACGGAATGTTTGTTTAATTTTAATAAAGTAGTAGTAGTAGTAGTAGTAGTAGTAATAATTTACATATTTTTTTTTTTTTAGCAATTCCGAGAGAGGGAATGGTGACGTCATATGTAATTGTCGCAAGTTTGGTTTTTGCGTTTTTGTCGCAATAATGAAGCTCAAAATGAATTAATTAAAATATAATATAAACTCTCACACTATGTAAATGAATTGAAATAAAAAAAAAAAAAATTTGCTATGCTTTTTTGCACATTTCTTTGCCATTATTTGTAAGCTTTAAAAAAAAAACAAAAAAAATTTTTTTTTTGTTCGTTTTTTTTCTTTTTTTTTAAAAAAAAAAAAAAAATGGCAAATTGTGAAAATTTTCTGTTTTTTTATTTATTTATTTAAATTTGGAAAAAAATTAAAATAAAAAATAAAATAAATATTTGACCAATATTTAAAAGAAAAAAATTTGCTGTTGTTGTTGTTGAAAAATTTTTTAAATTATTCTACTATAATAATAATAATAATTTTTTTTAAAATTTCATTTCAATTAAATATAATTTTAAAATCTTTTAATTTTTTTTGCGACTGAAAGCATGTATAATTGTAAAAAAAAAAAAAATTTTATTGAACTGCAACTAAAATATTCTATTTTTATTATCAATATGCGCTTTCGATAACTAAACATATCAGCTAAAAAAAAAAAAAAGAAAAAAAAATTATAAAATAATGTTTAGTGTTGATTATTTAATTATTAAAAATAATTTTCACAAATTATTTTTTTTTTATCTCCTTTCAATAACAAAATATTTAAATATTTAATTTAAATTTATTTTTGCGCGAATATTATTAAATCATGAGAATTTTTTTGTTTTTTAAAAGTTTATTATTATTATTATTATTATTACATATTCGGCAAATTAAATTTATGGAAAATTAATTTTATTTTATAAATTTAAATTTAAAAAAAAATTAATTAATATGAATAAATTTTTTGGAGATGTGTGTCATCATCGTTTTTAATTTTAAACTCAAAATATAATAAACATTATTATTATTATTATTATTAATATGGAGAATAAAAAAAAAATAATAATAAATAAAATTTTAAAAATAATTTTAAAAAATAAAAAAATTTTTAATTACTTTTTTTTCTTTTAAAATTATTCCTGTATCCATCCTTTGGGATCACAAATTTTTTTTTTCTTTATAACACAACATGTATACAAAAATAAATAAAAGTTATAATGCCATCTAGTGATAAAAATTTAAAACAAATTTTTGTACAAATAGTTACTTAAAAAACCGCTAGATGACTCTGATAAACAACTAATTTTCGTAATGGAAAAAAAAACAAACTGTTTTTGGAGTTTTTTTAATGTTGTTACCATTCCAAATTTTTTTTTTTTTTTTTTTTTTTGAAAAAGTTAATTATCTTGAAAACCACAAAATAATTACATACATACATACATGAATTCATGGATTCGAATGTTACAAATTGATATAATTTTTTTTTTTTTATTTTGTATATTTCAACGTTCTTAAATAAGTTTTTATTTCATCAAAACCCCCCCAAAAAAAAAAAAGTACTCGAGAATTTTTTTTTTAAATTTCTCAAATTTTTTAATAAATATTATCTAACCGAAAAGTAAGAATTACTGAAAATCATTATTATTATTATTATTAAATTTGAAAAAAAATCACTTCCATAAGTAACTTAATACTCCATGAAATTTATTTATAAAAATTTTATATTATAAAAAATGATGGAGGAAAAAAATTTTTTTTTTTATTTCGCACAAATTTTTTTTATTTTTTTTTTTTATAAATAAATTTCTTGAGTAAAATTTAAAAAAGTAAGTTTTTTGATAAATCCCAAAAAAAAAAATTTATAGGACATACAGGAAGTAAAAAAAAAAAAAAAAAATTGAAATCGGAAAAAGAAAATAAAACGGAAAAAAAAAGTGGTTGAATTGTCACTGGCTGGACCACCCAAGAACTCGTTTCTTTTTTTTTTTTTTCTTTTTTTTTTTTTTTTTTTTTCTTCTCCATCCCTCCCACACGTTTTCCCTTATTTCCATTCCTTATATTTATTATTTTCTTTCCCACTCTTTTGAGTATTGCAGGAAACCGCACACTTTGACAGAAAAGGCCACCCAGAAAGATTTTCTCTCCCTTTACCTAACATTTTTTGACAAATTAAAAGATTATTGAAGTGAATAGTATAGTGTGTGTGTGTGTGTGTGATCGCTTCATAACTAAAAATGTTTTTTTATAAAAAAAGAAAAAAAAAAAAAATTTTACAATAAAAGTTAAAAAGGTTTCCTCCCCCCCCTTCCCCCCATTCTCCTCCTTCCTTATTTATTATTATTATTGAATTATTTTTTTTTTTTGGAAAAAATTCACTTATGCAAATTAATAATATTTTTTTTTCCCCCCCAATTTTTTAATACAATGGTGCCATTTTTAAAAGACGACACCAACAACAACAACATTTGTTTATAAAAAAAAAAAAAAATTTTTAAAAAAAGAAAACGAATTGAACGTGGGCACATTGAATGAGTTGTATAAAAAAAAAATTTAAATGTATTTTTTTTTTTTTTTTTTTTTTTGACATTGAATAAAAAAAATTTTTTTTTTTTTAAAGCCCCCGACAAGTAATTTTGTCCCAAAAAAAAAAAAAAAAAAAAAAACGGGCCCCCCGAACCCCCCTTACAAGGAAAATTTTTTAAAAAGGAAAAAAATGAAACCCCCCGGGGGGGGGTTTTTATTAACAAAAAGTTAAAAAACATTTTTAAATTTTTATTATTATATGGGGTTGTTTTAACGTAAAAATATTACAAAAAAAATCGATTGAAAAATTAAAAAAAAAAAACAATCAATTTTACATATTTCATATGTCAGTCAATCAATCAATCAATCAATCAGTCAGTCAGTCACGTCGAACGAATGTAAATTTTTTTTTTTTTTTAATGTTTTTCTCTCTCTCCCCCCTCTCTTTGTTGTATTTCTATTTTTTTTGTAGTTTTTAATTAAAAAATAAAAAAATAAATAAATAAATATTTTTTTTTTATTTGTATTAATACTCGTGCTGAAAATTATTATTATTATTATTATTATTATTATTATTATTACTTACAAGAAAAAATGTAAGTTGAACAATTTAACACCGTTAAAAGTAATAAAAAATAATTTTTCTTTTTTTTTTTTTTTATTATTTCTTTAACGGTTTAATTACTTTTATTTTAAACGAGGTATTAATTTTTTCTCCCATTATTATTATTATTATTATCGTGTACAACAACGGTTAAATAATTTTTTTATTTCATATATTTATTTATTTATTTAAATTGTTTATGATGTGTTAATATAATTATTTGTTAAAACGACTTTTGTAAATTTTAAATCAGATTAATAATAATAATAATAATAATAATAATAATAATAATAATAATAATAATAATAATAATAATAATAATAATAATAATAATAAAGAGGTTTTTACGACAGAAATATTGTCGAGAAAAAAAAAAAATTTTATGTCAATTTTTTTTTTTTTTTGTAAAAATTAACAATAATTTCGACATGTTTATCAATTCACTTTTATTATTTTGCTATCGTTAAAGGAAATTACGAATAATTTTTATTAAAAAATAAAAGTGAAAGTTATTAAAAAAATTATTATTATTATGCTGATGGGTTTGTTTTTTTTTTAAAAGTTCTTTGGGTTTTTTTTTTGTCGAAATGATTATTTAATAAGAAGCTTATATATATATATGTACATGAAACTGCCCTGAGTTTCTCCCGCAGTGAAGACCACCAACGTTGATTGTGTTGTATTCTATGTACATTTGAACTTATTAACCATAAAGAAAAAATTTTTTTTCTTTTTTTCTTTCTTTTCAATTGTGTTTCTTTTTAATTACTAAATTTTTTTTTTTTTTTTTTTTTTTTTAATGTCAATAAAATTCTAATGGACTCTTATATTGTTTAAATTGCGTTAAGTTTTTTTTAATACATATAATCTATTTACATTGTTAATTGTGTGGGTGGGAGGGGGGTAAAGGGGGGGGGGAAACCTGTAATAAAAAATGTATAATTTTTATTATCACTTTTCCACCTTTTTTTTTTTTTTCTAAAACTTACTAATGCGTTTCAATATAAAATGTTAATATGATTTTTTTTTTTTATTATAACGACAACATTTGTAAAAAATACACAATTTTTTTTTCATTCAATATTTTTTATCCGATATAATAGGTAAAAGAGAGATAGATAGATAGATAGAGAGAGAAAAACTGGTTTGTACAACAACAACAACAACAAAAAACATCATTATTTATTTATTTGTAAAATCAGCAATCGTCAATAATGTGAATTTATGGTTATTAGGTGATATCCACAGAGAGTTGAATATAATATATATATATATATTAAATAAGTCAATGCCAAACAAATGAAATTTAAGGACCGAAATGAAATGATACCCAGAACAATTAAATTAGGCTAGAGGCGATGGCACGCTTCTTTGGTGGTCCAAAACTACATTAACACAACCATATCTAGAAAATGTCTTTTCAATTTATTGCACCCGCTTCATCACCGGTACATATGCATAAATTTATAATATATTTTTATATTTATTATTATTATAAATAATAAAAGTTTTCTGATAAGAATTAAAATATAAAAAAAAAATAATAATAATTCATTCTATTTTATGAATAAATTTTTTTAATTAATTGTGATGTTACTTAAGAAATTTATTAAATAAAAATAAACAGAATTTTTAATAAGTTTGTTTTTTTTATGAATGCGTTTTTGTTGTATTAATTAAAAATTAATTGAAAAAATTTTTATGACAAGTTCTAAAAAAAAAAAAAATATTTATTTATTTATTTATTAATAATTTTTTTTGTAAATAGAATATTTTAATACCAAGAGATTTTTACTTATACATTTATATGTGTCTGTGTGTATTGGGATTTATTTTAAATTTAATTAAAAAAATAACTAAAAGTGTAGACGAAGCTATAAAAAAAAAAAAAAAAAGAAAAAATTATTTTTAAATAAAGCAACTCACAACTGAATTGAGTTAAAATTAAGTTAAAAAAAAAATCCAGCTGTTTGTTGAGTTTTTTTTTTTTTGTTTTTGAATACACACACACACAAAAATTAAATGAAAATTTTATTAAAATTTTATAATTTACTTTTTTGAGAATCATTCTAAGTTAATATGCTTTTATATTTTATTATTTTAATTCCAAATTAATTAACTGTTAGAAAAAAATATATGTATAAAATTTTGTTTCATCATACAAAAGTTTGTTTAAAAATTATATTTCAATGAAAAAAGTTTCTTATGGTTTCATCAACAAAAAAAAAAAAGGTTTCTAATTTACTTTTTCTTTTTTTTTCGTCTTAATTATAATATATAATTATATACGTATTTTGTTTTTCTCATTACAAAAAAAAAAAAAAAAAAAAAAAAACAAATTGATTACTATAATTAAAAGAATGTTGTGGATACATATTTTGAATGAAATGAATAAAATTAAAAATAAAAAAAAATAGTTATCACTAAAATTATTTGAATAATGGGTCGATATTATTAGATAATAAAGGTTCGGTATATATTTTGCACAAATTTTGCAATATTTATTTTTAAAAAAATAAATGAATAAATAAACTTTTATTTTTTTAACATTCTTTTTTTTTTTTTTTTTAAAAATACCAACCATTCGCTTGTTTATCTTCAAACTTTTTGTTTTGTTTCACTAAACTTATGTTTTAAAAAATATTTAATTTATTTCCGATAAAATTTTTTAAAAAATTAGTGATTTTATTATAAGCATAAAGTTTTCTTTAATGAAATTATCTGTAGTTGTAAACAAATTGCTGATGATTTTACAATTATTCGGTTGTTTATTTATTGTTTTACCTAATGCCATGAGGCAATTTTGAATATGTCCACGTGGGTGGTCTACCGCAAACTTAGTTTTTTTCTGCGTTGTCATGGTTACAAGATCTCTAAAGAAACGTTTAATTCTAAAACAAAACAAATACTCAATTCGGATTTAAATATATTAAACTTAATTCAAAGGAATAAAAATTGTTTGCTTTTGTTTGTTTTACAACTGTTTTTTTTGTTTAAATATTATTATATTTATTTAGATATTCAATTATATGTATTTATAAATATGGCGGAAAATAGTAAATTTTACAATAATTATTTTCATTGCAATTAGTATTTTATCATGTTTTGAATCTGTACGTTAAAATTTTTCGACCAATGAAAAAACGCTTCTATAAGCTTCGGTCGTCTTCGTAAATTTTCGATGAAATTACTACTAAAGTCAGTTTACGTTGTGTAATGAATTCGTTAAGTAGTTTTTCGCGAATGCTTGGTCTGAATATGTGTTTGTAGGTTTGTTCAAGAATTTATATTAATTTTTTTTTAAATCGCGATGTCGTGTATGTGTTTAATATATTATGATACGTGAAGATAGTGTACTTATGTAATTTTCAAAAAAAAGTTATCAATATATTATTAGTTATATGTGGTAATTGTAAATAGGGGTGATAACATACCCATCTAAATGAAGACACTTAGAGGAACAATTCTGCTCCTGCAGAGCCGCACAGCTCGTATGTTAGCCGTGTTTCGACACCAATATGGTGGCCTCCACCACGAACAATAGTAACATTCATTTGGAAATAATTAACGACAAAGGAAAAACAGAAGCAAAACGCTTTTCTTCTTGCCGCAAGGATTTATTTATACGTACAAGCTGGACAGACGCGGCTTTGGCTCTAGCCCAAATAGAAAAGGTTTGTGTAAAAAAAAAAAAACCACGTTATTTTAAAATAATTTGAAAAAATTAAAATTCCAATTTTAGAAATAAATTCCTTTTTTTTTTATCTTAAAAACGTATAAAAACTTTCGGTATCAGGTTAATGTAGTATATCTTACTTGAAATGAATATTTAAAATGTTGCTGTTTTCATTAACCGAGTGGTTTCTATTTTCGCTCTTTCACCCGCCTGCACCTAAATATACAAAATTTTTTTGTGGCGTCTTGGGAGTTCTTTATAGTTCAACTCACTTTTATAACTTAATCAACTTTTATCTAGACTAAAAAATTTTAATGGCGCGGTATCTAACATTGTTCTTTTATTATTATTATTATTATTATTTTAAATTTTGACTTTTTATAACTGCTATTTCAAACAATTTTTTTTTTTTTAATTTGAGAATTATTGTTTTAAGAACCGATTCCTTTTAAAATTTATTAATTTTAATTAATGTTTGTATCAATTTTTTCTCTTTAAGAAGTACATTTTAAATTTTGTCAAAATTATTTAAAACGTTTAGAAATTTAATAATTACATTATTTTCGCTTCATTCACTTATTTATGTAACTTTATAAAAATATTAAAATCATTAATAAAAAAAAAAATTTTAAGAAAAATTTGGATTAATTTAACGTTTCCACTTTTTTTTTTTTGTTTGTATTAAAAGTGAATAAGTTGTCGCAGTGAAAGTTATATATATTCTAGAATTAAAAAAAAAAAAAAAAATTTAAAGTAATTAAGTATGTTTTTTTATAAAAGTTCATTGAAATATTAAAGAATTTACAATTTTTTTTTTTTTTTAAAAAGAAATTTTAGTTAACTGCTATTATCATTATTATTATTATTATTTCATTTAGGATGGAAATTTTAAAACTTCCGCCATTATGCGTTTCAAATATCAAAGAAATAAAACTATTGTTCTTTCGGTTTACTATTGTTTAAAAACAATTAAAGGAAGTGCGAGATACAATATTTTATTTTTTTATCGACTAAAGTTTAAATTTATTCTTCTCAGCCGTATGATTATTTTTATACTCCCTAAAAAAAAAAAATAATAATAATAATAATAATAATAGTGAAAAATACAAAAAGAACGACACACAATATAAATCCTAACCTAAATTTTTTGAATCTGGCAACATTGCCGATCTCAACCATCGTGTTGTCATGACAATACAGTGACGTCACGCTCACACAGACCACCCAGTAGCAAATCTGGATTTCGTCACACTTCGTAGTCAAGGAAACGTTACGTCGACGTTGCCAAGTTTATTACTAATTTTTTTTACTTTTACATTAGAGTAACTTTGTTTACTTAAATTTTTTTTTTTTTTTAAAACTTTATTTTTACGCGGTAAATAAGTTTCGAAACAAACGTTTTATTTATTACAATTGCGTAAAATATGAGTTTTTTTTTTTTTTTTTATGAAATCATTTATAAAAAATAAAAAGAAATTTAATAGATAATTTTATTGTTTTAAACATAAAACCCTTGGTTGATTGAAAATTTTATTTATTTTTTCCAAAGCAAATAAACCGTTTTTTTTTTCCCTTCCCCCATTAATAATAATAATAATAATACAACCTTATTTTTATTATTATAACGTATAAATCCGTTAAATTTAAAAATTCCTCAACAATTTTATATATCTCCATTTTAAGTTTAATTTTTTTGTTGTTGTTGTTGTCTGATTGTAAATAAATTTATTTTATTAACTTTTTTTCAAAATGAGTAATACAGGTTATGAAAGTAATTTCCTGGAGGATTTGATTGATTCATTTTTATTTTTTTTGTTGAAACATCAAATGAGTAAAAATTATTATTATTATATTTTCAAAATTTATATTATTGTAATTTCATGCTTATTAAAAGCATCGATTATTATTTAAATTTCATTTTTAAAAAAAATATATATATATGGATATTTCGTTTGTTTGAATCTTAATATCCTCGTGAGTACTTTAAATATCAAAAATATTATATGGTATATATATATATTAATGGAGAATTTTTTATTCAAGATTATATTTTTAATAAATAATTGATAAAATGTTACTTTTTTTTTACTTAGAATACAATAATTTATAAATTAATCCGTTTGAAATTGTAAATGATTTGGCTACAAGATAAAAAAAAAACAATCAGCCTCGATAATTTAATAAAAAATGCATTTGATGATGCATTAAATATATTATTATTATTATTATTATTATTATTAGTGTATTAAATTTGTTGTTGTTGTAGAATTAGAGGTTTTACTTAGTCGTTAAAAAAATTTTTTATTTTTTCATCAACGTTTTTTTTTTTTTTTTTTTTCCAAACACTCCTGTAATAAAATATATTTTACACTAGCATGTGCATTTTTTTTTTTAATGTTAGAAAATGGTTAATGAGCCATTTACATTGTTGGCAACTTTCTGTGAATCACTCAATTATATTATATATTATATTTTTTCTACCTTGGAATAAATTACTTGAGAGGAAAAAAAAGTTCAAGTTTTTTCTTTCATTTGAATCTGTTGTATTAGTTTTATTGCTTATTGATTTTGTTTTTCTCCTCCCTTCGATATAAAAAAATATAATTTTATTACGGTAGCACTAACCTAAATAATTTGGATTTTTAATAATAATAATAATATTAATACTGAATATAGGGGTACCACTTTTTTTTTTGCAACCTTGAATTGTATGTCTAACAATTTAATTACCGAAATAAAATTCGGTGTATTATGTAATAATTGAAAAAAAAAAAATTATAATTTAAATTTAAATTAAAATAAGGGTATTTGTACGTTAAGGAAATAAATTCATTTAAATTAGTTGTTTTGTTTGAAGCTTGTCTATTGAGTATGTGGGTATTTTTTTTAAGTACCAGCTAATTTATTTACAAAGCTTTTAAATATAAAAAAAAAAAATGTCTACAAATAAGAAAAAAAATGTGTAAAATATTATTATTAATAGCTACAATATATTTACATATAAATAACAAATAATTTCCCACGTGATAATAATAATAATAATTTTTTAAGGCGACTAGCAGAAACCATGGCATGTCTTTTATATGTCTTCTTTTAAAATCTCAAATGTGTTTATACATTCTATGACAATAAATTTAAAAATATAACTTTGATCGCATTCTTTGACGTTTTTTTTAAATGTAACATATTAATATTATCAGTTATTGTTTTTATTATTATTATTTTTTTTTTATTTTAAATTTTGTTTTTTATAGGGCAAAGCAGACGGGCAACGAACTGCTTTGTGGTTGCGAGCACGTTTGCAAGCCCACCTTTTCGCGTTGGGCTGTTTTCTGCATCGTCACGCTGGGAAAGTCCTATTCGTGGCTGTTTTAGTATTGGCTACGTTTTGCGTCGCTCTCAAATCAGCCACCATTCAAACAAAAGCCGAGGACCTTTGGGTAGAAGGTAAGTACAAATACAAATTTGTTGTGAAATTTTAAATTATTCATCATGGAGTAACATCGTACTACTTCAATAACCCACGGTAACAATTTCACAAAACGTTATCAATAATCAAATGTCATGCCAATTAATCTAATAAAAAAAAAATTTTTTTTCTAAAAGACTTTTTTATAAGTTATCTGTACCATTTGAGGTCATATAATTTTTATGATTTACTGTGTTTTCATAAATTTAAAAAATAAGAAGAAAAAAAAGAAAGGAAAGGAAAGGTTTATTGTGCAATTTTTTTTTTTTTTTTAGTATCTTGAAGATTTAACTAAAGTAATGTGACAATGTTTGAAATGAAACAACCGCGCTCCTCAACCCTTGCTTGCACATTTTTATTCCAAGATTAAAATGACCCACCGCATTGGAGTCTACCTACCTGTGTGGTCCATTGGTTCGAACTCGTAAAAACCGGGCTCTCTTACTTAAACCGAAACCCGGCTTGGTTTTTTCTTAAAATAAAATTATGTTTTTCTGTGAATTTTTCACCGGTCTTTGCACACACACACACACACACACACGGCTATACATTGAAAGTAGTAGTAGTAGTAAACGACGGTTTCTAGTTATTCTATGATGCTTTGATATTTCGATATATATTCGATACAAAATATAAATGAGATTATCTTTTAACTAAATTGTCGAAAAATGTTTTTTAATTCTTAAGAGTGTGACCGTATTTACGTATTAACTACGAGAATTTTCCATGTTAGGAATGCAAACTTTCGAAATTCATTCATTATTAAATCTTGAGGAAAATTTAAAAATGCTTTTAACGTTTTTTTTTTAATACCTTACCAAATGAACCGTATCCCGCAAAACTTGATTTTTTTTTCTTCAAAACGAAAAAAATTCGGTTTAAAATTTACAAAAATTTTCCATTCATAATCCAGGCTTTGACGATCGTAAATTACTTTTAAAAAAATATATATATTCCTTTACAAGTTAAACAACTTTAGAAAAAAAAAACCAAATTAACTGTAAATTGGTGGTTAATGGGATCAAGGAAATACAATTGGCAACACTGTATAGATGATTCGTTCGTAGTTTGCTCCGTTTACCTGACAGCGTGATGAAGATGTAAACTTAAGTTTTAAAAAAAAAAAAAAAAATTTTTTTTTTTTTTTTTTTTGTACCCGGTCTCCCTCTAATGGTGGATGGAAAGGTATGAAAATATAATTTAAAAAGCGGGAAATGAACCTAAAAAAAAAAATTTATCGCAATAATTTTATGAATTTTTATTTAATCTTTCGAGTTTTTTCAATTAAATAAATTATTTTGTCGTACTTTGTTTGTTTTTATTGTCGCGGTTGGTACCCTTGCATATTTCCCTACGTAATTAATGCCGAGTATAAGGTAACCCGTTGGATTCGAATAACGTTTAATTGTAATAATTCACATTTAATTAAGAAGTTTTTTTAGCCACCGCCTTGTATGATTGTGTTATTTATTATTAAGGAAGAAGAAAATGAAACGACAAACGAAAAATTTTAGTTTTTTTTTTTTTTTTTTGTTAAATTGTAATTTTATTAGTTTTACCTGGAATTTAAATTCTTTTTTTTCTCTCTCTCTCTCTCTCTCTCTATCTCACTTCCTCTCTTTATATATTACAATGCAAAACATGAAATAATTTGAAAAAGTAAAATTTTGTCTTAGCCTTAGGGCGAGTATAGGCCACCCAATAAGCCCGCCCACCGGTCACCCTTCTTCTTCTTCTTCTTCTTTTTTTTTAACCCAAATTTTTCTGCTTTCTTTTATTTCTTTTATTATTATTATTATTATTATTTTTTTTTTTCTACTTATTGTATTTGTTTCCAAAGTTTTCTAAAAAAGTTTTTCTTTTCTTTGTTGTTTTTTTTTTTTTTTTTTTTTTTTAATTTTAATGTATTGTTCTTTTCCCTTTCCCCCCTTTTCTAAAAATAAAGCTATTTTTTTTGTTTCCTTTTACAACTATATGTGAGTTTACAAAAAAAAAAAAAAAACCTCATGATTGATACTTGTTGTACTTACAAACAATAATTTTGTACAAGTTGTCAAATATGTTTAAAAAAATAAAAGGGGATGGAAATAAAAAATAAATTTTTGAAAAATTTTAGTAACAAAGAAAGAAAGAAAGAAAGAAAATTAATTAAGATGGAAGGGGATGATATTATTTATAAAGGTTTCAATTTTTAGAAATTTTTCCTTTTGTTTCGGCCATCATCTGTTAAATGGCGCCTAAAAAAATTTAAATTTATTAATAACGATTCCTGTTGTATACGGCAATGTAATTTATTGTAACATGGATGCCATATGGATAATGTGTCGAAATATCTTTTTTTTTTTTGTTTGATGGAGCCTTTTATTAAGAAAAAAAAAAAAAAAAACATGGCTCCAATAATTTTCCAAATAATTCTATCAAAAATAGGACAGAATCATTTAAATCGGAAGTTTAAACTTCAAAAAAAAAAAAATTCTTTTTTTTCACTTTTTTTTTGATATTTACCGACAAAACTTTTGTAAAAATTCAGGCACCACCTTAATGTTGGATGAATTCAAGACATCTGGGGGAATTCGGGGGTGGGGGGGGTGGGATTCGGTGAATTGAGATGTTAAATTCTTTAAAAAAATGTCCGGTCTATGAATGGTTGGTTGGTTAGAGTGAGGGATGACATTTTACAAAGACTTTTTGTGTTAAAAATTTTTTGAAAAATGTGATTTTTTTTTTCTCTCTCTCTCTCTCTCTCTTGTTTAAAATGTCTCTTTTAGAAGGTCCGCACGTTCGGTTGAAACTTTTAAAATCTAAGAAGATTTTGTAAAAAGTTTTTTTTCTACACAAACGATTTCGAATGAATAACTAACTATTATTATTATTACTATAAAGATGAAAATGTCAAATTTCAAGAGAAAAATTTTTTTCAAATCGAATTTTATTATTGTTATTATTATTTCGAATTCCATTGATTAATTTATTAGTTGACTTTTTTTTTAAAATAAATTTAAGAGACAAAAAAATATTTTACAATCGAATTTACGTAGAAAAAAAAAAAAAAAAAATGAAAGTAAAAAATAAATAAATAAGGAATGGAAATAAAAATGCGGCAGCCATGTTTGTTTTAGTATCGACTCATTGATTGTGTTTTATTACCCTACATTTACAATTTATCGGTTATTATTGGCGCAATACGCACTACGACGGCTACGCTCAATTCAACTTTTGCATCGGTGTTTAATTTTATTTATTTATTAATGATAATGATAATAATAATAATAAATTATTATTACGGATTTATGTCGTGTTAATTAAAAAAAAAATAGTAATAATAATAATAATAATAATAATAATAATAATTACAAAACGAAAAATTATTTATTTGTTTAAAATGTTCAGGAACAGGATAATTTTTTATTATTATTTTTTGTTTCTCCCTCCCTCCTCCCCCTCCCCAATGTAGCTGTAAAAAATATATTATGTATGTTTGTATATATGAAGCCAGAAATTAAAAAAAATTTCCTTTTCCAAAGTTTTCTTTAAAGGAATAATTTTTTTCTTTTTTTATTCCAGAAGGAGGGCGTTTAGAAAAAGAACTGAGATATACTCAGAAAACGTTAGGAGAAGCTTCAGGTAGCACTCACGAATTATTAATACAAACATCTAAAGATTCTGAGGCATCGCTTTTACATTCTGGAGCACTTCTTGCTCATTTAGAAATTGTCAAAGTGGCAACAAGTGTTAGTGTGCATCTTTTTGATATGTAAGAATAATTTTTGATTTAAAAAAAAAAAAAGCAAAGATAATTTATTAAAAGTCACATCTTACATCTATCTCTATATAAAATGGTTTTATTTATTTTTTTTTTTTTTTGTATAATACAGAACCTGGAGACTGAAAGATATGTGTTACTCACCGAATATTCCTAATTTCGATGTTCATTATATTGACCAAGTAAGTAATAATAAACGTTGCAATTTCAAATTTGTATTTCAAAATATACCCAAGTTAAATAAAATTTACTTTTGCTTTCATTCGTATTGATTTAATTCATTTTTTTTTTTTATACAGATATTTGAAAACATTATTCCTTGTGCCATAATAACTCCTCTGGATTGTTTTTGGGAAGGCTCAAAATTATTAGGACCTGACTATCCAGTGAGCATACCGTAAGTGACATCACTACAAATTTTATCATTATTATTATTACTTTTTATATATTTTCTTAATTGTTTCGTTATTGCACTTTTTTTCTTTTAGTGGTATAAGGTCAAAGGTTAAATGGACAAATTTAAATCCTATTACATTAGTTGAAAAAATGAAGACGTTTGATTTTACATTTCCGTTTAAAACGTTGGAAGATTATTTAAAAAGGGTATATATATATATACACATAACCTTTTTTTTTTTTTTTTTTTTTTTGAAATAAATTTCTCTGATCAAGTTAAATTAGTTCATAAAATTTTATTTTATTATCTTTAGGCTGGAATAAGCACTGGTTACCAAAAAAAACCTTGTTTAAATCCAAAAGATCCAGAATGTCCGACAACGGCGCCAAATAAAAATGGACAGGTAAAAACTATTTTACAACTAACTGTTTATATATATATATATATATATATATATATATATATATATATAATTTAAATTATTAAAAAAAATTAATTATTATTTATTTGCAAATAATAATAATAATAAAAGGAAACATTAAATGATTTTGATTATTATTAAAGTTTTCTTTATTTTTGAGAAAGAGAATTTTAAAATTTATATTTGAAGACTTCATTTTTTTTTTTTTTTTTTTTTTTCAACCAGGGTGGTCCAATATAATAATAATAATAATAATAATATAATTGCTCTATTTGTAGGTGGGGTTTTCATGTTTTTAATCCCTTTTAATGATAATGAATCTCAACTTGGGTGGTCTTATCATCAACTCTACACACAATTTCTTAAAAACTCAATGAATGATTTTTGTTTATTTTTTTTATATTTTTTTTTTTGTAGTTTTGCATGATGTATATTTTTCAAACATTTTAAAACTTGATATTAGTTGATCAAAACTTTATGTTTAAAATTTTTTTTTTTTTTTTTTTGATTACAAAGAAGAAATTATTTTAGTATTATTTAAAAAGTTTCCTTTTTTTTTTTAGGTTGTTTTTTTCGTATTGCATGACTAAATTAGTTGAGTAAACTAATTATTAACTATGTATATGTAAAAGGAATTGTTTTTAAATTGATTTTAAAATTTTAGGTACCTGATATTGGTGCTGAATTAACAGGGGGATGCTACGGTTTTGCTGCAAAATATATGCATTGGCCGGAAGATTTGGTTGTTGGGGGAACCAAAAAAAATAAAACTGGTCACATTACAAGGTGATAACCTTTTTTTTTTTTTTTTTATATTATGATGTGAAGCATATATGTATAATATATACACATAATTATTTAGTATTATAAAAATTTAATTTGTTTATGTGTGTATTTCAGAGCCAAAGCTTTGCAAACGGTTGTTCAGCTTATGGGAGAAAGAGAACTTTTTGAATATTGGTCTGATACGTACAAGGTTCACCACGTCGATTGGACTCAAGAAAAAGCGGCATTAGTTTTGGAAACGTGGCAAAATAGGTTTGCCGAAGAAGTACGGAATCAAATACAAAGTGATTCCAACACTAGTTTATATAATGTTTACGCATTTTCCACGGCCACACTCAACAATATATTAAAACAATTCTCAGAAATAAACGTATTTAAAATAGGAATCGGATATTCAATAATGGTGGGTTTTGTTTTGTCCAAAGTTAAAATTAATTTTTTATTATTATTATTATCATTATTCATATTTAAATTTATTATTTTTTAATTTTTTATTAATTTTATTTATTTATTTTTTTTTTTTAGTTATTGTATGTAGGATTAACTCTTTTAAGGCGTGAAGATCCTGTACGGTCTCAAACTGCAATCGGAGTGGCTGGGGTATTATTAGTATCTGTCACTGTAGCAGCTGGTTTAGGTTTTTGTTCGCTTTTAGGGATTGCATTTAATGCTGCGACAACACAAATTATACCATTTTTGGCTTTAGGCCTTGGTGTAGACAATATGTTTCATTTAACTCACACTTATGCAGAATCAGATAATGAAGGAAATATCGACGTAAGTTTTATTTTATTATCTCTTTTTTTTTTTCTTTTTTTAAATTCAATTCATTATAAAAAAAAAAAAATATATATATTTTTTTTTTAGGAGCAAACTGGGCTCGTTTTGAAAAAAACTGGTTTGAGCGTTCTTATGACTTCACTTTGTATAATGTGTACATTTTTCGCTGCTGCTCTTATACCTATTCCCGCTCTTCGTGTCTTCTCTCTTCAAGCCGCCGTTTTAGTTTTATTTAACATCGGAGCAATGCTATTGGTTTTTCCTGCTATAGTTAGTCTCGATCTTCGACGACGTAAATCTGAAAGAGTCGACCTTTTCTGTTGTTGCATGCCTAGTCCAGAAAAAGAGCCGTCTTGGCCTTGTTTTTTGTTTCCATTGAATTCTCGACGATACGAAAATTCTAGAAAGTTTCAAACTGTAACAAGAGCATTACCACCTGATCGTAAACACACCGTCACCGTCATAGCTCCTACGGCAGGTTCCGAAGAGAAGTGGATTGGTATGGCGGATACACCGTTCGGATCTAAGCCTTATAATATTGCTACAAAGAAAAATGTTCAAGTTTCAAATCATTATGTAAAATGGAGTTTAACCAAATTAGTTGCAGACTACTATGCTCCTTTTCTAATGAAATCTTCTGTAAAGGTATAATAAAAGACAAAATAAAATGCCAAAAAAAATATATGAGTGCAAAATTTTTAATTAGTTGCTTTTTTCCAGGTTATATCTATAATACTCTTAATAATAGTATTAATTGGTAGTGTATGGGGTATGATGAAAGTCACGGATGGATTGGACTTGACTGATATTGTTCCTCAAAATACAAATGAATACGCTTTTCTCAGTGCTCAGGGCAATTATTTTGGATTTTATAATATGTACGCCGTAACTCGAGGAGAATTCGAATATCCGAATAATCAGGAACTCCTTCACGAGTATCATCAGGCTTTTATAAAAGTTTCTAATATAATGAAAAATGACAACGGCGGTCTTCCAGAATTTTGGCTGGAAATGTTTAGAGACTGGCTTATAGGTCTCCAAAAGGCATTCGATAGAGACTGGGCTAACGGTTGCATTACCCAAGAAAGGTGGTGCGCAAACGCTTCCGACGAAGGAATATTAGCGTATAAACTTTTAGTTCAAACAGGTCATGTGGATAATCCTATTGACAAATCATTAGTTCATCAAGTTCGGCTAGTTGATTCAAAGGGTATTATTAATCCAAAAGCATTTTATAATTATTTAAGTGCTTGGTCTTGGAATGATGCTTTAGCTTATGGAGCATCTCAAGCGAATTTGAGGCCGGAGCCTCGTCAATGGTATCACACCGCGAGTGATTACGAACTGAAAATTCCAAAATCGGCTCCCCTAGTGTACACTCAACTTCCATTTTATTTATCTGGACTTGGTGACACGCAAAAAATAACAAACTTGATTAGTGAAGTTCGTGCGATTTGTCAGAAATTCGAAGACCGCGGACTCCCGAATTTTCCGTCCGGTATACCCTTTTTATTTTGGGAACAATACCTTGCATTAAGGCAAAACTTTGGACTTGCCCTCATAAGTGCGCTTTCTGTAGTGTTCGTTATTGTTACGGTTCTACTTTTAAATTTTTGGGCAGCACTTTTAGTTACATTTTCATTAGCTTCGATGATTCTTCAACTTTTGGGATTGATGGGAATATTCGGAATTAAATTGAGTGCAATACCGGCAGTTCTTCTTATTGTTGCAGTAGGAATAAAAGTACATTTTACCGTACATATATGTTTGGTAAGTTCATTTTACTTAAATAAACAAAACTAACTTTAAAAAAATATTATATTTAATATAGATATTCTAATTTTGGTTGAAAATAATAAAGATATTATTAAAACATAAATAATTACAGGGATTTATAACTTCTGTCGGTGGTAAAAATCGAAGAACGGAATTGGCTTTGGAGCATATGACAGCACCAGTAATTCATAGCGCTGTTACAACATTGTTGGGCATAGCCATGCTTTCCTTTTCTGAATTTGGGTTTATTGTTAGGTAAGAAAGATTGAGCAAATTCAAAATTTTTTTCCATAATTATTAAACTTATTCAATAATTTATTTGAATGTTTTAAAATCAGTTAATAATATATATTGTTTTTTGTACAGGTATTTTTTCTACGTTTTATTGGCGTTGATAGCTGTTGGCCTCTTGAATGGTCTAGTCTTTTTTCCGGTGCTTCTCTCTCTGATTGGCCCTGCTGCCGAGGTCGTGGGAATAGAGCATCTCGATCGCATTTCCACTCCTTCACCAGAACCTCAAAATATTAAACCTCGACCATCATCTTGCCGCGTGAGCAAAGTTGTCCTTCCTCGGCGACATCATTGCAATCGTCTTCATTCGGAACCTTCGTTGACCACAATAACTGAAGAAACTGGATCGTGGCATTCGACTCATTCGATACAATCCATAATTGTACAACCGGAATTAGTCGTACATACAACGACTTACAATGAGCCGAATTCATCAAACGAAGAAAACATACAAAATAATTCAAATTCAGATGGTTCTACATCTTCACTCTCATCAATTCCAACGTCTAGTTGTAATCAAAATCGTGTAACTACCAAAGTAACGGCCACAGCCAAAGTTAAAGTAGAATTACATGCTCCTCATTCTAAGTCATTTCAAAAAACTTCATCATCATCATCATCATCATCATCATCATCGAAGAAAAATTATGGAAGGAAGAAGGAATCAAAAGTATCAGAATCATCTAATTTCATTCATAAATATACAACGTAACAAAAGTGTCCTTAGTTTTCATGTTTTTTTTTTTTTAATTTTATAATCAATAATAAAAAGTATTGTATAAAAAAAATGTTTCTGAATGTAAAATGTCAATGTTTTAAGTTATTTTATATTTTATTATATTATAAGTAAGAAAAGAATAAGTGTGCACTTAAAAATATAGTTAATTTTTTGAAATAATGTAATTTTTTTAAAAAATTAATCGAAAAAACTTGATTTATATGAAAAAAAAAATTTATTTCAAGTTGAATTTTTTTTTTTTTTAATAATAATTTTTGTATATTTTATAATTAAAAAAAAAAAAAAAAAAATGACGATCAACGAAATTAATAAAAATTTATTGTATACTTAAATATTATTATATATATTTAATTGTTAGGATTATTTAGTTTTTCATATCATTTCTCGATTCTATTTTTATCTATTTATTTATTGTGTCTTGGTCATTAATTTATATAATTTCTTTGTAAGTGTATGCAAAAAAAAAAAACAAAAATGCATGAATGCAATTAATTATTTAAGTTATATAAAGTATTTGTAAAAAAAAAAAAAAAAAAAAAAAAGTATGTAAAGAATCATGTATATTATAATAGAAATTAGAGTTAGCAAATTTTTTTGTACATTTTATGAAAACTAATGAAAATTTTTTTTTTTTTTTTTTAAATGTAACTATATAATTTAATTACCTCAATAATCATTTTTTTTTTTTTTTTTTTTTACCACTTAAAAATTATGGTGTGTAAACAATAAATAATAATAAAATTGTGAAAATTATTTATTTTCAATTAATTTTTTTTGTTTTTTTTTTTTGCTTTTGTATTTTTTCCTTTTTTAAAAAATTAAAATTTTATTAGAATTTAAAAAGTAAATGTTTTCCTCAAGAAAAATAAATCAAATTTTAAACAAAAAAAAGAAAAAAATTATGAAGATTTTGGTTTGAATTAACCTAAATTTTTTTTTATATTAAATGTTTTCTATTCGAAAAATATAATAATTTATTTTATACACTGCTTAATAATTTGTTACTTTTCATTAAGTAATTAGTTACTTTTTGTTTTTTCTAACAATAATTTTTGTAAATGTAATCAATTCCTCAACTATATAATTTTTTAATAATTTTTAATATTTTGGCAAATCAAAGTAAGTAAGTATTATTTTTGAATTTGTAAATAAAATTGTTTTAATTAAATGTTGAGATATTTTCCTTTTGATTACACAATGTTTTTTAGAGATGTAAACTTTCAAAGCATTAATATTTTTGTATTTATATATTATTTAGTAAAAAAACCTTGGTTTAAAGTAGATCTGATTTTTTTTTGTTTTTGAAATTTACGTAAAAAAAAACTGTCGAACAAAGGATAAATTGTCGACACTTCGTCTAATCATAATATCGTGTAATCAAACAGTCATGACTAGATAATTTTTTGTACATTTTATAAGCTCGTAATAATATTTATTTATATTTTTCCCAATTAACTTTTTTCTCGAAATTTTTAAATAAAATAATATAAATAATTTTTTTTTCGGCAGTGTGTAGATCAATCTTATTTGCTTTTATTGTGCATTTTTTTTTTTTTTTTACTTTGAATTAATTTTGTTTTTTTCAAAGGCCAAACTTAATTAAGTTTTAAGTATTATGTGTTTTAAATTAAAAATGGATTATTTAAATCAATTAATTAAATAAGTGTTATTTTTAATTGATATGTGGTTTTTTACACATTCAAAATGTATATGTTCGAAGGAGAATATCGAAGAAAACCGGAACAATGTCTTTCAGGTGCTAGTATTGTAACGGAAAGAAATGAATTATTGCAACATGTTCGCCAGCAACGTTTGAAACGGGAAGAATGTAGAAAACGTACCAAATGTACTGTTTTAATTCAGGCATTTGCACGAGGGTATTTAACAAGAAAGAAATTTAAACAAATTGAAAGGATTTCTTTTGATTCAATTCTTCAGGAGTCTGATTTAAAAAATAATATCAATGAAAAAACTTTGGGTTTGCTAGTTAAAAAACTTCTTTTTTTTTATGATGGTGAAAAAGATGATAGTAGGCTGGTAAGATAAAATCTCTTCTCTTTTTTTTTATCAAGTATGATTTCTAAAACTTTTTAAATATAATTTAGAGCTATAACAAATAATTTAATAATTTATTAAATTCGGTTGTTCGTAAATTTAATTTCAGTGTGATTTTTGGAAACTTATTTATTGAGGCATTTTCATTAGTTTAAATGAAACTTTTAAAAGTTTTACATTGATTTTATTAGTAGGAGTTCAAATAGTTTGGTCAAGCTATATTTCAAACATAACTGTTCAAGTTTTCGCATATTTAAATTAATTTTCTTGATGAAGTATTACATAATATACGAAAACATTATTTTACTTTGTAAAAGCTTATTCTGTTGATTAGTATTATTAGTGAATTCTACATTTCTTTTTGTTTTAGGTGACAATATCACAAAGCATTTTGAAAGCCAAAAATAGGATTATAAAATTGTCAGAAATAACAAATAGCTCTTGGTCTTGGCATCTTCAAAGGTTATTAAATTTAAACATAGGACAAATGTTATCTTCAGTCAAATTTAGAAGCCCCGATTCAATAGCAGTGTCATTAAGAATGTTAGAAATATTTACTTCCATGGAAGTTATTAAAAATGTACTAAATGAAGAAAAAGCTAAGATTTTAGTAGCTAGAATATTTATTTACCTTGTTGGAAAAAATTATTTTAAAAGCCTTAAATTTTTAATCGATGAAAAAACTCCTCCTTTATTATGTGAATCTGTTGAACCTCCCACTCCTTTGATTGCTTGTTTGTTTGATTTACTGTTAAGACCATTGCAATTAGTAGATGTTGTATCATCATCAGAATTCAGGTAAATTATCATCATTTTGTCATAAAAAAATATTTTTAAAACTATATTTTATTAATTTCAAATGTGTACTTTAATACCCTCTATAATACATTATTGTAATTTTTTTTTCAGCATTTTTTTAAAGCATTTGTGTAAGGATGTTTTCTCACCGAAATTATCAGAATCAATGAAATTATTTGTAATTCCTGCTTTTGCCGAATTATCATCTTTCCCTTATTTTCAAATGCTAGAATTTTTAAGAGATTGCAAAGTTAATGGTAACATGAAAGATGGATATTCAAGCTTATTTTCATCTAGCATGCTGTTTACCGTTTTGTACTTGGAAAAGAAACATTTCTGTAAGTTAAATTTTTTTTTTTTTTTTTTTTTTTTTTTTTGATTTAAGAAGAGAAATAAATTTTCATGTTCAGTAATTCTTATACTGAATATATGTCTGTATTTTAATATTTAATTTGCCTCATTATGTGTGTTTCATATGAGATATAAGTTTTTGTAAGTACAGAAGTAATATAATGAAAGCAAAAGCAAAATATTTTTGCAGTATTATTAATATTAAGTTTAAACACATAATGGTACATAATTTTTGTGAGTTAATTTAATTGATAACAAAAAAGGTTTAGTAAGTAATTTTTAATTTGAACCAAAATCGAAAAAAAGCACATATTTCAGAAGCTATTTGGAATTTAAACATTTCAACGATACATACATATGTGTGTGTATATTCAAAAAAAAGAAAATTATTAATTGTATTTCCTAATAGAAACGTCTTAATAATTTTTAAATAATATGTATTTATTGTTTAACAATTAAGATTTTCAATTCAATTCAATTTAATGCTGTATTAATTTTTTTTTTTTTTTTAAAGGAAGGAAACGGTTATTGATTTTGATCTATGGGGAAAAAAAGTTTTTTTTTTTGTAAAAGAATACATTAAAAAATTAATAATCATTTTTGTGTATAAATTAAAGTTTGAAAAACAATTTTAAAAAATTTATAACAATATATATCTCGTTTAAAGTTTAAAATTAAAAAATAAATAATAATATTTTTAAAAAAACCGAACCGCCATTAACGCTTTAAATATCGAATTTTTAATTTATTTTTATTAATTTTTTATTTATTTATTCGTTTAATATTATTGTGAAGAACTGTTGCAATAAATGATCCTAAAGCGGTGTAACGACATTTTTTTAAATTTTATTTACGGTTGTAAAAATGAAATTAAAAATGTATCTTTGGGGGGGGGGGTTTGAAATGAAATTTTAAAAAAAATATATATATATATATATTTTAAAACCCGTTCTCTTTTATTTTAGCTCGAAATATTTATTTTTATTGAAATACTATAACGGATTAAACAGTATTTAAAAAAAAAAATAATAATAATAAAAACAGTGCAAAAAACTTCCTTAGGCGACCATCAGAATTTCCGTGAAAAATCAAAAATATTTTCTAGAGGTATGTGCCTTTTTAGACAGAGAAAACCTTTTTTTTTTTTTTTTTTTTTTTATAATTTTTCATAAACCGTTATTTCACGACTACATATCATTATTTATTTATTTTATGTCGGTAATAAAAAATGATTCATAAAAAAAGCTGGAATAAAAAAGCATATTTATTATGAGCAATGGCTGTTTGTGGTATGCATAATGCTCATATTGTGTATATATAGAATACATGTAAATTGCATATTAGAAGGCATTTTTTAATTTGTTTTATCACATTAATAGTTACAATTTGTTTTTTTTTTTTTCAAAAATAAGGTATACTTGGATATAAGATAAGATTTCATTTAAATGAATACAAATAAATAATTGTAATGTCTACAAAAATTAATCTAAATATATATATATATTTTAATGGAACAAAGAGGAAAACAAAAATGGCGTCTGATTTACATTATATATTGTATGATGGAATTATATTTAAAAAGTTTTTCTTTTAACATTGGAAATTTATTAAATAAAATCAATGTAATATTATATATATAATATATTATTCTACTATAATATATCTACTGCTATGCCATAACTATATTGTACTGTAATATGATAACTTTAAATTTTACATTCAAAGTTATTGGGTATTTTTTTATTTTGTATGTTTATAAAACGAGGGTTTAAAATTTTTAAATTAATACAGCATTATTGAAATGAAAATTTTTTTTTTTTAAGTTAAACTTATTTTGTGTTGTAAGTTTTTTAGAAAAAATTCCTAAAAAAACAAATAATTTCAGGGTTACACTTTCCTCCCAGTTTGGGTGAATTGACATGTTATCTTCAAGTAATTGCTCCTCTATCTGCAAATGCGAGTAAATTAAATAAAACAATAATTAACGAAGATGAAGAGGATGAATTAGGTGAATTCGAAGTTGATAAAATAGATAACACCGTGGAAGAATCATTAAGTGATGAAATCGAGGTAAATTTATTTATTTATTTTTTAATAAAAAATTTAAATTACAATTTTTATTTTAAAATTTACATTTTGTTATATTTTAATTTCAGATTCTGGAATCTTGCATTAGTATGTTAAATGATCCGATAAAAATAAATAATCTATTAACGTTGATTGACGAAACGGAAGAACCATTAATTCTTCAAGCTCTGTGTGAAATTTGTTATAATTTGCTCATATCAAATAAACTGGCCGTTTATAAATATAGGTTAAATTTTTGTATTATTATTATTATTATTATTATTATTAATTTAGTAATGTAATATTTAATATGTAATATGCGTTAATTTAATTTACTTCAGATTATTATATTTGTTGGCTTTCAAACCTTCGTTTTTGAGACATTTATGGTCCGCCATACAACGTGTCAATCAAATATCAGTTTTTGGTAGTGCTACACCTCTCATAAATTTCATATCCAGAGGAATTCATTTAAGTTCTGACGAGTCTGAAAGGCTCATCCTTTTGTTGGCTGTATTTTGCGCTCTTTTTAGTCTTTTAATTTCAATCCTTCACGATTCTGAATTTTACGGAGACGAAAATGGTTCCGGTAAATACGAATAAGTCAATTGCTTTGAAATAATGATGTTAACAAGATTTAATAATAATTTTTTGAAATTTTTTAAATTCATTTACGGTTTAGGTTCGAGTCAAACAATGCCATTCACTCTACAACAGCTGGTTGCGATTACAGGACAGTTAAAAGATATTTCATTGGGTTTAGTTGATTTGGCTTTTCCAGATTCCAGACCCGCAGTCAAAGAACATATTCGTGGAATAGAATATTCTATTTCTTTTCACCAGCCACATTTGTGGTCAAATCTATTTAAGGTAATTGGGAATTTCAATTTCAGGTTTAAATCGGATCTTCAAACTAAAATAATTTAAATTGAATAATTTATACAGGTTGTTGTAAATTTAGTCCGACAATTACATGCTCGAGACAATCGGCGGCCTTTTTGTCCCGAAGATCATTGGATATCTAAACAAGTTCAAATTATATATCAACCCTCTGAACTGCCATTTCGAAAAAAACGTTTGAGGGGATATCGTCCCTTTCACGGTTTACGTGCTCTATCTAGAGAAGAATTAGGTATTTTTTCCCCCCCCCCAAAAAAAAAAAAAAAAATTTTTAGTCGAAGAATTAAATAAAAAAAATTTAAACTCTTTATTTTAATGTAATTTCAGAGGATGGTGGTCCACCATTAACAACAAAAGAAGTGCGAACTGCTACTCTATTGATGGAATTACCATTTTTGGTACCTTTTCAAGAAAGAGTCATGGTTTTTCAAACGATAATTTTAAAAGATAAAATGGAACATCAAGGAGAAGCGACTCGTTTTTTACAGGGACCCATAATTGAAGTTTCAATTAGAAGAAATTATATATACGAAGATGCCTTTGAAAAACTTTCCATTGAAAGTGGTACGTATAAGGAGGAATTTATTTTCTATGTAAAAGTAAATCATTTTTTTTTTTTTTTAAATAAATTATAATTAATAATTAAAATATTTCAGAGCCCGAAATGAGACTAAAAATGAGAGTTCAACTTTTTAATAGCGTCGGTTTGGAAGAAGCAGGTCTTGACGGTGGCGGATTATTTCGCGAATTTTTATCCGAACTATTAAAAACGGCTTTCGATCCGAATCGTGGATTTTTCAGGTTGACCAAGGATAATCTCTTGTATCCTAATCCTCATGTACATTTAATTCTAGATGATTTTCCGAGACATTATTTTTTCATTGGGCGAATGTTGGGAAAAGTAAATAGAAATTATATTTTAAATAATACGAACGTTTTATTTATTTACTAACGTTATGAAAAAAATTTTTTTTTTTTTTTTTTTCAAAAGGCTTTATACGAGAATTTATTAGTGGAATTGCCTTTTGCCGAATTTTTCCTTTCGAAACTTGTCGGCAGGCATTCTGACGTCGATATTCATCACTTGGCATCTTTAGATCCACTCATGTATAGAAATTTATTGTTTTTAAAAAGTTACGAAGGTGACGTTTTGGATTTAGGATTAGACTTTATAATAATTAATGAAGAATTAGGCGAAACTAGAGTGAGTTTTTTTAATTTTTCATTATTGATTAAAATAAAGTTTTTATTTAAAAAAAAATTTTTTTTTTTTTTTGTAGATTGAAGAATTGAAACCTGGAGGAAAATCAATCCCAGTTACATCAGCCAATAGAATAGAATATATTCATTTAATGGCAGATTACAAACTTAATAAACAAATAAGAACTCAATGCGTGGCTTTTAAACAAGGTCTTACAAACGTAATTCCTTTGGAATGGATTCAAATGTTTAATAACAAAGAACTCCAGGTACTGATATCAGGTGCGGAAATTCCCGTGGACGTTAAAGATTTGAGAGAACACACAAAATACGCTGGAGGATATACCGAAGAACATGCCACCATTAAATTATTTTGGAAAGTTGTGGATAATTTTACGGATGCGCAAAAAAAACAATTGTTGAAATTTGTGACCAGTTGCTCTCGTCCTCCTCTTTTAGGATTCAAAGTAATTTCTGGAATTTTTTTAAATATGATTAAGTACGGATTTGATTTTGATGTTATTTTTTTTTTTTTGCACAATTAGGAATTAGATCCGCCATTTTGTATTCAAAGAGCGGGAAACATTGATCGATTGCCTACTGCAAGTACTTGTATGAATTTGTTAAAACTTCCAGAATTTTCTGATGAAAAACTAATGACGGACAAACTCGTGTATGCAATACAATCAGGAGCAGGATTCGAATTAATTTAATTTGGTCTCATTTAAAAAAAAAAAAAAAAAAACAATAAAAATAAATTAACAAAATTTTGCTGTTATTCCTTTAATATTCTAATTAATTTTTTTCTTGTATTCCTTTCCCTAGGGGTTTTTAAAAATTAAATAAAGTTAAATTATTAGTTTTTCAAGATTTTTATAATATTATTTAATAATAAAATAAAATTATTAACAAATTTTGTGGTAATTGTAGAAAGTTTTACCCAAGGTAAGTTTTTTTGAATAAAAAAAAAAAAGTTCGTTAAATTGAATTTTCTTTTACGAAATGACTTCAAAAACTTCTTCTGCCTCTTTACAAATTTATTTTTTAAGGAAATAAACGATTAAAAATTAAATAAAATTTTTAAGTAAGTATAAAATCTTTAAATCGTAGTTTTTGTTAATAGAATTTTAAGACGTATCATTAGAATTACGTAAATTTGTCGATACATTTTTATTGGTAAATAATATATACATGTGAATTGTCGCCATTTGTGTATTGTTTTCAGTTCATTAATTTGTTACTAAATAAGTAATAAATTAACGTTTTCATTTAGGTTATAATTATTAGATATATATATTACATATAAATATGCCCGATTTTTATAAGATTGAAATAAATAGAACAGAATGGGAAGTTCCAGAAAGATATCAAATGTTAACACCCGTTGGATCTGGCGCATACGGACAAGTTTGGTAGGAATCGGCTTCGATTATTTTTCGTTTTTACCATTTAAATATTTTTTTTTGTAAAATTTATAATTTTCCAATTATGAATTTATTAAAAAATTTTTTTTTTACAAACTCGTTGTCTAGTTACTCTGTTCACACGGATGCAATTATATTAAGAGTTTTTATTTTATTTTATGCAGCGACTTAAAATTCAAATTTTTTTTTTTTTATATTTATAAAGCTCAGCATTGGATAAAAAAACAAAAATGAAAGTTGCCATTAAAAAATTGGCTCGTCCTTTTCAATCTGCAGTTCACGCCAAAAGAACTTATCGAGAATTAAGAATGTTGAAGCACATGAATCATGAAAATGTGATAGGATTACTAGATGTATTTCATCCTTCAACATGTTTAGATAATTTTCAGCAAGTGTAAGTTGTTTCTTTTCTTTTCTTTTTTTAATTTCAAACCATTATAATTAAATTTAAGTTTGTTTTCAATGGGAAAAAGTTATGAAGATTTTTCAATATTTATTCATATTAATAAATAGGTATAAAACAATTTAAAAATTTTTTAGGTAACTCTTTAAAAAAAAAAAAAAAAACTTCCTTTCAGTAAAAATTTGTTGAAGCAACATGTTCAAATTATAATTAAAGTGTCCATAGTGAGTGTATTTATATAAGAATGTAATTAAAATGAGTCTTAAGTACGATTACAAAAAAATTTCTGCCGTAATACACGGCATGAGTTTCAACAATAAGTAATTATTCGAATCTTATTTTATGAATTAATATTTTTCAGATATCTGGTTACTCATTTAATGGGTGCTGATTTAAATAATATAATTAGAACTCAAAGATTATCTGATGATCATGTTCAATTTTTAGTTTATCAAATTCTAAGGGGATTAAAATATATTCATTCTGCAGGAATCATACACAGGGTATGTTGCATACAAATACCCTCATAATGCAAAATTTTAATCTCCCCATTAATTAATTTATAACATCAATTTTTCAAATTAACTTAAAATAACAGACTTTTAACATAATTATGTATTTATTTTGTTTCAAACATGAATAATAATTATCTTTTTTAATTTACTTACCCATAGTAACACAACTAAAGGGGAATTTAATACTTTCAATTTTAGAACATACTTAAAGTGTTTTCAAAATTTTTACGTCAAAATAAAAATAAATTTTTAATTTAAGAAAAATTACATTTTAAACATAGTTTTTTGATAATTTTCAAGTATTTATAGTTTCATTTTAAAAATTAAAGCTTTTTTAATTTAGATTTATTATGTTTTTTCTTTTGATAAATATTAAATCTATTATAAATTATCATTATACATTTCATATCATTATTTTTATAAGTTATAACAATAATAATGTGGAATTCTGAAATTGCCTTCGTTTTTTTTTTGATGGCTTAAAGAACTAAGTTTTGTCAATAGTAAAGTTGTAGTAAAATTTAAGTTTTGGGTTTAAAGTTAATTTCAATTATAGAATGACATCCCTTAAATTTGGTTTAAGATTAGAACTCAATAATAAATTTTAATAAAATTGTAGAAATTCGATTTATTCGCACAATAATCATTAGTGCAATTTCAGTAAATATTAATTTTTTTTGTTAAAAACTTTATGAGTAATATATAAAAAGTATTAACATTTAAAAATAATCTTGATATCCTTGACCTGTAAATTATATGTATATTTATAATAGTAAACATTTGCTTAAGAAGAAAAAAAAAAACAATTTTTATATTAAATCTTATTTATTTACTTAAATAAAAAAAAAGGCAACAAAAAATAAATATAAGTTTTCTTCACTTTTACAACAGTTTTGTCAATCTTTAATTTGTTAAAATAAAGCTTTTTAATGTAAATGTACCACTAAAAACTTTGATTGACTTAAATTTTTTTTTTTTTTTTTTTTACAGGACTTAAAGCCTTCTAATATTGCTGTTAATGAAGATTGTGAGTTAAAAATTTTGGATTTTGGTTTAGCACGTCCAACAGAGAATGAAATGACAGGTTATGTTGCCACTAGATGGTACAGAGCACCTGAAATAATGTTAAATTGGATGCACTATAACCAAACAGGTACTTTTATAACAATGTATATTAGTAATTGGTAATTTTTTTAATAATGTTTAGCACTTTTTAAAGAAAATAACAGATAAATATTAATTATAATACTGTAGAGTAATAAGATTAAGTAACAATACTTGTTTGAACATTTTACAGTCGATATTTGGTCCGTTGGATGCATTATGGCAGAATTAATAACTGGAAGAACTTTATTCCCAGGAACAGACCGTATCCTTTAAATATTTTTAAATTTATTTATAATTATCTTATGTTACTATTAGTTTTAATGGTTCTTTTTCTTTCTTTCTTTCTTTCTTTTTCTTCTACATTTCAAGTAGTTTAAAAAATTTAAAATCTTTGAATTGATATGGGAAAAATTCCTTTTTGAATTTTATTGTTGCTCAATTTTGGATTTAAGTCTTTCTAAAAAAATTGTCAATCGAAAGATGTTTAAAATGTTTTTCAATTTAATTATTATTTTTATTTTATAAATTTTCAGGTAGTATTCTTTAGTAGAGGAAAATATATTTGTAATGTCTTTGATTGTTATTCGTTTGTCTAGGTATTGTCTTTATTCCACAATATTGTGGAATTATGTAATTAATAATGATTGAATAAGGTTTTTTATCGAGTCAGGTTCATATTAGGTATGCTTCTTCTTGTGAAATAAATAAAATTAATTAAATGTCATGTAAAAATGCATGTATTTAAAAAATAGGTATTTATATTTCTTAAATGATAATTTTTATAATCGAACAACAACAAAAAAAAGAAAAAAACAGAATTGTTATTTTACTTAACTTGACGATGAGAATATTGTTTGGAAATTAACAAAAATTTTTTCTGTTCATTTTAAAATTTCCTACATATTTATTAATTAGATATTCATCAATTGAGTTTAATTATGGAAATACTCGGAACTCCTAATGCAGAATTTATGAAAAAAATATCAAGTGAATCCGTGAGTAAAAAAATAAGAAATTCTTTTGAAAAAAAAAAAGTTAACATGAAAAAACACTAAAAAAAAAAAAAAAAAACATTTAATTTAAATAATGAAAATAATCTATAATATCTGTAAATATGATTGATTGATTGATTGATTGGTAAAACTGCAGTTTATCAATATTTTTTTTTTTTTTTAGTTATTTAAAGCTAAATGAAAAATTTATAAGAAAAATAATGATAAACAAGCAGGTAAAAGTTTTTTATTTTTTTTACAAAAAATAACTGACAAACATGGCTGGCTGGCTTCTTTCACTTTATATATATAATAATTTTTTTTTGCGCGCGCAAATAATGATCGCTTTTGTTATTTACAAAGTTTTCCAGCATTCCATTAATATAACATTAAAAGATTTTTTTTTTTAAATAATTGTGGGTATTTTGAAAAAAAAAAAAACAATTAAATGAGTTGATAAAAGTAATATCTGTTTGTAAAGTTAAAATTTCAAAAAAAAAAAAAATTAATTGGTAAAAAGGTGTAAATGTAATGAATCAAATTTTTTTAAAATTTATTAATAACATAACAATTTTGTTGAAATTTAAAAAATTAAAAAAAAAAAAAAAGGATTTTAGCTTGGTGGAAATGTCTTAACCTTAACATAAATAAATTCAGATATTGATCATTTGACTAGAGTTTTACTATTATGTGGAACGCCGAAGGAAGAAACAGTGGCTAAAATAACAAGCGAAGAGGTAAATTTTCTTTAAATTACAAGGGATACCCGGAATGGCCCGAAAGAATCCCCGAAATGTCATTTTGTTTTGTTAATGATATTACTCAAACATCATCCATGCAAGTATAAAGCAAAAAAAAATTTTGAATTTTTTGACGTTGAATTGTTCATAATTTAGGTTCAGTTATGATTGTGGTTGTTGTTGTTGTTGTCGTTCATTTTTTTCTGTATATTTTTAACTTTTGTCTGTAACATACGTCACTGCCAATGTGTGTCCGTCATTTCTTTTTCGTGTCATTACCATTTTGAATTAAAAATTTTTAAATATTACGACCATGTGAGTGTTTTTCATTTTATATTTATATTTAGTGTGCCTTAATTATTATTGTTTTGACATTTTTAAATACTTAAATCGAAGAATTATAAAGAGAACAATTACATTGGTACCACCCTGTATGTGTAAATTTCTGCTTGATTTATATAGTAGAGTATTTTGCATGGGTAATTTTTTTAATTTTTTTTTGAAAATTACAATAATAATTAACTAATTATTATTATTAATATTTGAAAAAAAAAATTTTGATTTATTTAACGTGTAAATAACAAACAATATTTATTTACCGCTTTTTACAATGCTATTTATAATAATTCTTTTTGAATTTATTATTATTATTATTATTATTATTAATTTACAAGTACATGATAAAGTTAATTTTTTTTTTTTTTAATTTACAGGCTAGAAATTATATTTTGTCATTACCAACATTAAAAAAAAGAGATTTTAAAGAAGTTTTTCAAGGAGCTAACATATTGGGTAAAATTTTTTCAAATTTCAAATTTTATATAAAGATCATCATTTTGAAAAAATATTTTTAAATTTTATATGGATGTAATTTTTTCAGCCATTGATTTATTAGAACAGATGTTAGAATTGGATGCTGACAAGAGGATAACAGCTGAACAAGCTTTAGCTCACAGGTATTTATCTCAATATGCTGATCCATCAGATGAACCTGTTTCAGCACCTTACGATCAAAGTTTTGAAGACATGGAACTTCCGGTTGAAAAATGGAAAGGTTAGTTGTAGTTTTAACTATTGATAGGGGTAAAACTATTAAAGATAGTCATAAATAAATATAATTTTACTTTTTTTTGTTTTAGAATTAGTTTACAAAGAAGTTTGCACATTTCAACCACAGTTATTAGTTTCAAATTTGCAACAAGAATCCTAGTACTAACATAAAAAACTATATTTTGAATATTACAATAATTGGTTGAGGAAAAAAAAAAAACCAATAAAACAGTTTTGATGATGAATGCTTGATTCTTTGTATTTAAGAAAAAAAAAAGCTTTAAAAAAGATTTTTATAGTTAAAATCAATGGAATCATTTAAAAAGTTATGTGTGTGTGTGTGCACTAAGCAAGTTATTTGAAATATGTACAAAGAAAATAATTAATATGAAATGTATTTTGTACATATGTAATTAAAAAAATATTTTTGGGAACATTTTAAAAATCATATTAATTAAAATTTATTTTTAAATAGTTAAAAAAAAAAATATTAATGAAATGTTTAAATATTTTTATTCAAAACAAAGAAGATTTGTTGTTTAAAATGCTTAAAATTGAATTTTTAAAAAAAAAAAAAAAAAAAAAAAGTAGATTTTAACAAGACTGTAAAGAATTTAATATACTCAATTGTTGAAAAATACTTTAAAACGTTATTGCGTAAATTTATTTATTTAAATAAAAAAAAGTTTTTTAATCCTAAAAAAATGTTTTGAATTATGTTAACTTTTCATAAAAAATGGTAAATTTTATTTTCGTAATTATTTATTATGGTTATATATTAATGGTTTAAAGAATTAATTCAATTTATGAATTAAACTTTAGGCCAAATGCATTTAAGTTTAAAGCGGTTTAAATTGCAAAAATTAGGTATTTTTTATTACTGCTAAAATCCAACGAATATTACAAGACATAATTTTTTAAATTTTTTATCGATTTATTTTTTAGAAAAGAAAAAGTTTACTAATAATTTCGTTTTTCTTTTAAGTAAATTTTAGGGATTAAAATAATTAATTTTTCAATATAAAAAAAATTGCCCTAAGAAAATTGCGTAAAGTGTCCTAGTTTATTAAAGAATTAATTAATTACCAAAAAAAAAAAAGAAAAAAGAAAAAGTAGTTTGATTTCTAGAATTTGTTGCCAACCGTAATTTCGATGTTTATTAGAAGGCATTTACATTTTACTCTATGGTTTGCATTTTGACCAACATAACAATTGCATTTTAGTTTGGCATCACAAGCTAGTTTTTAAACTAATCGTGTAAAAAAAAGAAAATAATAAAAATGGATGTTCTAGATATAGATAATGCCGAAGAATTTGAAGTTGATGAAGAGGGAGACCGTAAGTTTTAGTTTTTTTATTTATTTATTGTTATTTAAGTCAATTATTTCGTACAAATGATTGTTTATGATGATTTATTGCATCACTTGCTCCAATGCCAGTTAAACGTATAATTTTAAAAGTAATTTTTAAAATTTATATTCTTCTTTGTTTAATGTGTTTTAAAATAAATTTTAGAGGGCATTGAGCGATTAAAAGAGAAAGCTAAAAAAAGAAAGGGACGTGGTTTCGGTTCAGAAAATTCAGCAAGAGAAGATATACAAGACTATGAGTCTATGGATCTTGATGGTGGTGGCGAAGAACCGGGTCCTCAACGTTGTAAGTTGTTAATGAACTTTGTAGTAGTTTATTAATTTTAATATATTTTTAATAATATTACTTTTTAATCCTTTTTTACTTTTTTTTGTTTTATAATCATTTTAGTAAAATTTTATTTTAAATTTAAATAACGACTTTTTTTTTTGTTATTTCAAAAGTTCTTATATAATTCGCTTTATAATTATATTTAACAAAAAAATTTTCTTAATTATATATAATTAGCTGTCGAAGGGTGGATTTTATTTGTGACATCTATTCACGAAGAAGCTCAAGAAGATGACATACATGAAACATTTTCCGAACATGGAGAAATTAAAAATTTGCATTTGAATTTAGATAGAAGAACTGGTTATTTAAAAGTAATCATTTTATTTATATTTATAAATTATGAATTAAGACACTAGATAGTAAAGTAAAATTTAAATTTTCAGGGTTATGCTTTAGTCGAGTACGAAACTTATGAAGAAGCTCTACAAGCTAAAGAAGCTTTAAACGGTGCTAAAATTTTGGATCAACAAATTGGAGTAGATTGGTGTTTTGCAAAAGGTCCTAAAAAGTATGTATTCATTTGAAATTTATATATTCACACAAGTATTTAATTAATTGTATTTTGTAAAATTTATTCGATTAAAATTACAAAAAAAAATTATAATCAAAATTTTTATTTTTTTTTTTATTTTTTTTTTTTTTTTTAGGCAAAGGAAAAGCAGAAACAGAAGACGAAGAGATAATATTTAAAAATTTTTTTAGCTTTTTAATTACAAAATAATAATTAACAATAAATTTGATTTTACTTATTATAAATATTAGTTTATTTAAAATTTTTTTTTTTATTATTAATTTAAAAAAATTATAAGCTTACACCTTGATATAAAAAATTTTTATATTAGTAAAAAATAAGTTTTTCATAATTATAACATTTTATATTGAATTAATATGATAACTAAAAAAAACTTTCTTTTTATTTAATGTAAAGTAAATAATTTACCTTAAGGTAAAAAGGTGAAGTAATAAAATAAAATTTGAAAATAATTCAATCTTATATATATATATGCTTGTACCTTTTTAAAATAATTATCATTATTAAATAACTTAAAAAAATTTTTTTTATTTATTCATCAAATATTTATTTAAATAATAAAAACAAGATTAATCAGTTTTTAAAAATAAAAATTAAATTAAATTAAATTTGATGATGTACTCGGGGAATTATCTAACAACATTGGAAAATTTCCCTCCGTCCAATGAATTAAATTATGTTCTGACATTTGAGTCGATTGAAAATGATCTTTCAACAACATTTGTGAAAAATTACAATGCATTTGAAAAGCTTCATTTTCTCTCGCTGGATCGCCACACAATCTGAACAAATCTGAAATGGAAAATTTAATATGACATGCAAGTAGGTAACATAACAATTTTTTAAATTGTTTTTTTTTTATTATTTTGTATAAATTATTTGTTAAAATAATGTAAAACCTTTTAATATAGCCGATGCCCATAACTGAACGTGAACATCGGGAATTTTACTTGCAAGTTGCATGGCCGGCGTGACCATATTCATACTTTCTCTGCTATTTCCCAGAGATAAAAAAATATGACCTAACAGTACTAAAGAACAAGATGTCAATCTATTTAAATCTTCGGCGTTTGCCATTTTCAACGTTTCTCTTAGATATCTTCTGCAAAACGAAAAAAAAAAAAAAAAAAAAAAAAAAAAGAAAATTAAATTTTGGTAAGTAATTAAAATTTTCATTTTTATCATTTTTATTAAATAATAATTTTTTTTACTTTGCTTCATTATATTTTGCTTGAAAAAAGGATTGAAGACCTTGAACGTAATATGCAGCTGCTCTTAAACTATGAGAATGTGAGGGCAATGTTTCTGGATTAATTCTTTCAAATAAAGCATCGAATTCCTGTTCCCTTTTAGCTCGTAAGTACACAATGGCTAAATTCAAATTTGCAAAAGTCCAAAGCTCTCGTTCCGTTGAAGTCTGATAAAAATGCAAGAAGAAATTTTTGAGAGATCATATAGAAAGGCTGGGTTAAAATTTTTATGTAACAAATTCACAAATACCCGCAAAGCAGCATGAAATTGTGCTTCGGCAGCTTCCATGCAATTCATATTCATTGCATATAGACCCAATAAAGTGTGTAATTGAGGTCTGTGGGTTTCTAATAGTTTAGGATGCTGATGGCAAAGGCCGCAGGCTTGTGAAATTTCTTGCAAGGCTAATGATTTATTTCCCATAACCAAATGACACATAATGATATGTTCCAGCAAAATAAGTTGAAAAACTGACAGTATTGGTTTGTTATCTACAACTGAAAAATATTTTATCGTATTAAATTTATTCCTTATAAATTTTATATTAAAGAAAAAAAAAAATAAATCATTACTTTTAAGTTTGTCGATTTGGGTAAGGGCTTTGTCAGTGTACTTTTGAGCTTTGTCCATATAACCAGCTTGCATACTGTGCATTACTGTAACCAAATAAACAAGAACATAAAGATGCTCTTTGGGCATCCACACAAACATATCACCTACATTGGAACCACTAACAACTGAAATATAAATAAATATATATTATTGAGGTGTATCAAAACAATAATGCAATTTTTATACATGATAAAAGTGCTAAATTATATTTAAAAAAAAAAAAGAAGCTCACTCTCATCTGATGGCCATGTTGGAGTCATTATAGTTTGAATACTTTGTTGTAGTTGTTTTAAGCATGGCTTAACACTTTTGACTTGTCCTGACATTAAATAATGATAAACCTTAAACAATAATTAGAAATGTGTAATGCACTAAAGTTTCTGATAATTTAACATGTAAAATTTTAAAAAGATACATTAATCGTAAGAATAAAAATCTCTTTTTTAGGCAGTAATCAAAATATTAACTTGCTTAAAAAAAAGTATTTTTTAAGAATAAACATGATGTATTTATGAAAATAAATACCTGAAGTACAAGAAAGAATACTTTTAAATATTCTTTTTGATGAGTACTGCCTTGCCAATTATCTACCAAATGTCCTGCTTGATTTAATAATGGGTGCACTTCCATAATTTTTTTTTCAATTAATAAAAGCATTGCTCTGCTCAATAAAAACAAAACTCTAGTGTAGTTTGCTGCTGAAATATGAGCATAATCAACGCCAACTCCGAGTAGACTACTTGCTAATTCATAATCTCTTTCACTGGCATGAATTTGCTAAATTAAAAGCAAGTAACAAATAATAAAAATTTATTGTTATTTTTAAATGCTTTTTTTACAAAAACAAGGTAACTCACTGCCAATTGAAATATTAAGCGACAATGCCAATAAACACTGTGTTGCGAAAGTTCAATTGCTTTTCTCAATATGGGCTTTGACAAATTAGACTGTGATTGCTGTTCATACAATTCTGCTAAAACACTAGCTGCTTCAAACTTCACATCATCGAATGCATTTATCATTTGAGACAAACACCACTAAAAAAATGTAAAATTATGTAACCATTTTGCTTATTTAATGTAAAAACAAAAAAAATATATTGGTCACTTACAGCTTGTTCCAAATGATTTCTAGCCAAATCAGTGTTTTTTGTATGAGTTAATAAAATATTCCCTAACTGCAAATGTGTTCTGGCTTCCACTCTAGGAGGAGGTTTAAAGTGAAATACTGCTTGTAAACACTGAATACATAATTTAATGTTCGGAGGGCTGGAAGTACGAAAATTCTCAGCCAAACCGAGCAAAGATAAATACCAGGCATCTTGTGATGAAGCCATTTTTGTAATTGTTCAAAGCATTTTGTAATATTATAATTTCCAGAGGGTTAAATTAAAATAATAAGATAACAAGGCTATCAAAACAAAGTGAACAAACCATAGATAAACATTAATAATAAAGTCGACTAAACGTATAATAACTAAACTAACTGCATGATTAAAAAAATTATAAAAAAATTTTATTACGATATTTTTGTATTGCAAATTAATATTAAACTTTTGATGTTTTTACAAAATAATAATAAAAACTTATTTTCTAAAAAATAACTCTATGACAAAAGCAGAAAAATAATGTCCATTTTCAGAAATGTCAAGTTTTTGCTAAAAGTTGGCACCGCTTACCATTGCCTAACCGATCGCGACGTAGTGATTCGTGGCAAATCGTCCTTTTTCGTAGAGTCAGCCATAGTAGACTCTACACTTGTTTCGTTTTTATTTTTTTTTATCCTAAAACATCTAAAATGGTAAGAATTTTATTTTAATAATTTATTAAATAAATTAGTAGTCTAATTTTAATTTTTTTATATAAATGATTCTATAGACTATACAAATTTTTTAACTTAGATTTTTCCAGCAGGTTTTTACTATTACACGTTATGATGTAAATTTTTATAATTAATATGTCTAATATCGTGTGGCTTTCCAGGCAATTCTTTTTTTCACCATATATTTCTCGTTTTTTATTCTCCTCTTTATTGTAATGCTTTAATATCTTAAGAATGTCTTTACAAAATTTTCTTAATTAATAATTTGTAAAATTTGGCAAGCATATGTACATAGTATGTAATGTTTTAATTTTCAGGTGAACTTTACTGTTGACGAAATACGTAATATGATGGACAAAAAGCGGAATATCCGTAATATGTCCGTCATAGCTCACGTAGATCATGGAAAGTCGACACTTACGGATTCCCTGGTTTCCAAAGCTGGTATCATTGCCAGTGCGAAGGCAGGTGAAACACGTTTTACTGACACTAGAAAAGATGAACAAGAACGTTGTATTACCATTAAATCAACGTAAGTATTCATTTAAAATTAAATCATGAGGAACATATGTTTTGTTTCTTTCTACACCATACCTTTGTAAATTACGGTATTTCAATTTGACTAAAGTCTAATAGGTTTTTATTAGTTTGCAATGATTAATTTTGCACTGATGAAATAAATTATGCATTTCAGAGCTATTTCTATGTTTTTTGAACTTCAAGATAAGGATTTGGTATTTATTACAAATCCAGATCAAAGAGACAAGGGAGAGAAAGGGTTTTTAATTAATCTTATTGATTCACCTGGGCATGTTGATTTTTCAAGTGAAGTAACAGCTGCTCTTAGAGTAACTGATGGAGCCCTTGTTGTTGTTGACTGTGTCTCTGGTAAGTATATCTATTGTTTTTGTAAATTAGTCAAATTTTTTAGGAAAATGATTTTAACTTTTCTTTTTTTTTAATTTTTTAAATATTTTGAATAATACCACATGTTTTTTTTTTTTTTACTAGGGGTATGTGTTCAAACTGAAACTGTACTTCGTCAAGCCATTGCTGAAAGAATTAAGCCTGTTTTGTTTATGAACAAAATGGATCGAGCTTTGTTGGAACTACAGTTGGAAGCTGAAGAACTTTATCAAACATTTCAAAGAATTGTAGAAAATGTGAATGTTATTATTGCTACCTACAGTGATGATTCAGGGCCAATGGGTGAAATTAGAGTAGATCCTAGCAAGGGAAGTGTCGGATTTGGTTCAGGTTTACACGGATGGGCTTTCACCTTGAAGCAGTTTGCTGAAATGTACTCAGAAAAGTTTAAAATTGATGTAGTCAAATTAATGAACAGGTTAGTTAGCTCATTTTAATATTTTTTTACACTTGAGTAAATTTGTCCATGTTTTAAAAGTAATAATAACTTATAGTCTATTAATTCTTTTCTCAAATATTGAAAATAATATAAAAATATCTTTAAAATAATTATGAATATAAATCATGTTTATCAAATTGTTAGACAAATCAGTTTATAAATGAATATACTAAAAAAATTATTTTTGATAAATTGATTGTATAATTATATGAAATATATTTTTAACTAATATTATTTTAATATTTTTAATCTAAATTTAAGAATTAATGTAAATTACTATTACACTCTAATGAGGTACTTTTTTGTACAATGATTGATAATGATGATGTTATTTCTGATTGATGCTAACTGCATTACATGTGACGAATCAGAACGGCCAACTGAAACTGTTAATGCTAAAAAAAAAAAATTATTTTAATGTTTATTTAGTGCATGAATTGAAACGTAAATAATATTAATGATACTATAGAAAAACAAGCAAATAATAACCAGGGGTTTTTTTTTATTTTCAGATTGTGGGGTGAAAATTTTTACAACATGAAAGACAAGAAATGGGCTAAACAAAAAGATGAAAATAACAAGCGTTCTTTTGTCTTGTACATTCTTGATCCTATTTACAAGGTACGTTTTTTATTTTAAATTATTTAAATAAATAAGTAAAGTTTTATTAATTTTTTTTTTTTTCTAATTTAATCATTTAAAAAAATTTTCAGATGTTTGATTCTATAATGAATTATAAAAAAGAAGAATGTGCAACTCTTTTGCAAAAATTGAATATCGAGTTAAAACATGAAGACAAGGACAAGGACGGAAAAGCTTTGTTAAAGGTATTATACATTTTTATTAATTTTATTAATGTCTATTTATAAGTTTGAACTTTTCTAATGTATATTTTAAATTACAAAGGTTGTAATGAGAGCTTGGCTCCCAGCTGGAGAAGCTTTGCTTCAAATGATAGCCATTCACTTACCTTCCCCAGTCGTCGCTCAAAAGTACAGAATGGAAATGTTGTATGAAGGACCACATGATGATGAAGCTGCTATTGGAATTAAGGTGATTTTCTTTACTTTTTTTGTGTAGATGTAAAGTTTCATTATATAGGTGATGAATAATTCAGACCTGTTCTGAAATTTTTTAAAGTGATGCTCAATTTTTTTTCTGAACAATTAGATTTTAATTTACTTTTAAAAATTGAAATTATTTAAATTGTAATTTATATTTAATTTTTTTTTTTTTTTTTTTTTTTTTGATAATCTAGAATTGCGATCCTAATGCTGCTTTGATGATGTACGTTTCTAAAATGGTGCCTACATCTGATAAAGGAAGATTTTATGCTTTCGGTCGTGTCTTCGCTGGTAAAGTTTCCACTGGAATGAAAGCTAGAATTATGGGTCCTAATTACACTCCCGGCAAAAAAGAAGATTTGTACGAAAAAGCTATTCAACGAACAATTTTGATGATGGGTCGTTATGTCGAAGCCATTGAAGATGTACCATGTGGAAATATTTGTGGTTTAGTTGGAGTAGATCAATTTTTGGTTAAAACTGGAACAATTACAACTTTCAAGGACGCTCACAACATGCGGGTCATGAAGTTTAGCGTTTCGCCTGTAGTGCGCGTGGCAGTTGAACCGAAAAATCCTGCCGATTTACCCAAATTGGTCGAAGGTAATTTTATTTTGTAAAAGTAAACTTTGTTTTAAAGTTTTAAAGAGTTAACTAATTTTTTTTGTCCTATAAAATTTTAGGTTTGAAACGTCTGTCTAAATCTGATCCTATGGTTCAGTGTATTATTGAAGAATCCGGAGAACACATCGTTGCTGGAGCTGGTGAATTGCATTTGGAAATTTGTCTAAAAGATTTGGAAGAAGACCATGCTTGCATCCCGATCAAAAAGTCAGATCCAGTTGTATCTTATCGTGAAACAGTTTCGGAAGAATCCGATCAAATGTGTTTATCGAAATCTCCAAATAAACACAATCGTTTATTCATGAAGGCTCAACCAATGCCAGACGGTCTTCCAGAAGATATCGATAAGGCAAGACGGAAAACATTTTTTTTAATATTTACCTTGTGGCACAAAACAGAACTGCGCCAAAGTTTGCTAAGACGATTGATTCCATTCGATCTACTTACAGACGAAGACGGTTGCAGTTGTGCTTGAGCAAGGAAGATTAAAATTTCGTTTCATTGTAATATTGTCGCAGAACCTCTATCTTTATGTTCAATTGTGGCATAGGCAATGAAAACGATACAACATGATAAAATTTTAATTTTTTTATTATAAAAATTATGCTCATTTAATCACATTTCATCAATTTAAAAATGTTTTTTTTTTTTTTTTTAGGGAGAAGTCAATCCTCGAGATGATTTTAAAGTTCGTGCTAGATACTTGGGTGAAAAATACGATTACGATGTTACAGAAGCTCGTAAGATTTGGGCTTTTGGGCCAGACGGTAATGGACCAAACTTGTTGCTTGATTGTACTAAGGGAGTTCAATATTTAAACGAAATCAAGGATTCAGTTGTTGCTGGATTTCAATGGGCCACAAAAGAGGTTTTTTTTTTTTTTTTTTTTAATAAAATAATTTGTCTCTCTTATAGTTTTAAAACCGTAAAAAATTTTTTTTAATCAGGGTGTTTTATCGGAAGAAAATTTAAGAGGTGTTAGATTTAACATTTACGATGTTACACTTCACACGGATGCTATCCACAGAGGAGGTGGTCAAATTATTCCTACGACTAGACGTTGTCTTTATGCTTGCTTATTAACTGCACAACCTCGTATTATGGAACCTGTATACCTTTGTGAAATTCAGGTAAGAGTCCATGTGTAATTTTTTTAGAAATATATAAATAAATATAAAAGAATATTTTTTTTTTGTATAAAATAAAAAAATTTACATATATAATATTTTAGTGCCCTGAAGTGGCTGTAGGAGGTATTTACGGTGTGCTCAACAGAAGAAGAGGTCACGTATTTGAAGAACAACAAGTAGCAGGTACCCCAATGTTTGTGGTCAAAGCTTACCTCCCTGTCAATGAGTCGTTTGGTTTCACAGCTGATTTGAGAAGTAATACAGGAGGACAAGCTTTCCCACAATGTGTATTTGATCACTGGCAAATTTTACCAGGTGATCCATTGGATGGTGGATCAAAACCTTACAACGTTGTCCAAGTAAGAATTTTTTTTTTATTATTATTAAGAATTTTAATAGTGTAATATATGCTTGAAAAAACATTTTTTAAATTGAATATTTTTTTTTTTTTTTTTACAGGAAACAAGAAAACGAAAGGGGCTTAAAGAAGGCTTACCAGATTTGACACAATATTTGGATAAATTGTAAAAGATTAAATGCTTATTAGGTGAATTATTAAAAAAACCTAAAGCTAAAAAAAAAGCGGTGCAAATTTTATATAAAATATTGGAAAACTTTACGTCTACTTTTTTTTTATTTATTTCATTCTCTTTACATTTTATCGTTTTTTTTTTTTTTTTTTATATCTGGTCATACAAGGAGGTATTGAAATTTTAAGTTTGATTATTTAAAAGCATTTAATTTTTTTTTTTTTTTTTTTTTTTTTTAAATCTTAATTTTTAACCCTTGTCGGAATATCGAATTTGGAGTTAACATTCCAAAATGTCGGATTTTTTTTGTTTTTTGTTTAAATTGGTATCGAGTTAATTTAATGATTTTTTTGATGTTTTCATTTAAAAAATTTTAATATATTTTTAAATGTGTTTTGTATTATTTAAAACAATAATTGATGATAAATAAATTTTGTACTCATCTGAAAAATTGATTTGAAAAAAAAAAAAAATTTTTCTTTAATTTGCATTTATTAAGACAGATCATATAAATTTTCAAGGAGGAATTTTTTTGCTTTATTTTTTTATCAGGTTAAAGTTTCTGTTTTTTTTTTTACTCATTTCTCTTTTTAAAAATTTGTTTGTTTTATATTTAACATTGTAATTCACTTATGACGATTGAATTTTTATTTCTGGTGTCGAAAAATTAATATATATTTATTCATTTGACTTATTAAAAAAATAGTTTGAGTTTGGCATTAAACTAATTTAATTAATCAATCAGTCTCGAATATTTTTTGTTTTCAATAAAAATTTGAAAAAAGTATAATTTATATAATATTTAAAATTAATGACGGCAAGGTATTTCGAGGACCGATAAGGGTTAAATAAAACTATAAATTTTTCCTAATTTAAAAAAAATTTTGATTTTATTTTACGGCCATTTTATTAAATCAACAATTCTTAGTCAGATTTAAAAGAAGAAAAGAGGTTGCTTATTATTAATTTGGCCCTCATAATTTAAATGAAAACATTGAGAATTTTTTTACACCTACCTAATGGTTTTGATCCTTTGAAGAATAAAAAATTTTATTTGGTATTTTAGAGAATTTATTTCACTTAATTAATTGCTCTAACGAGGCTTTAAAAATAAAAACTATTATTCCAGTAAAAGCCAGCTAATTTCTTAGCTAATTAAGATTTATATTAATTTTTGGACAATATAATTACAGAATTTGAAAAAAAAAGGTAAATTTTTATGGAGTATTAAAATTTAAGTTCACTAATAATACACAATATTAGTCAACTGAAGTGAAAAAATAAATTTAAATTTATTATTAAATGTTTTATAAACTCAGTCTCATTTTCTTTTAGTTGATAATTGTTCGTATTTTGATTTGCTTGAATACCACAACACGAATGGAATTACCAATGAGGGAAGTGTCATTATAGCAAATGCAATCCAATCAAGAACATGTGATGAAAATTTCTTGTCATAATCTCTAAATGCTACAATGAGTCCTTCTCCAGGTTCACTTGTGACAGCATATTGAAGAGCACCTTCTTCCGATACCTTGTAACTTACTTCAGCTGCGGTGAAATTATAGTATCTATATAGAATAAAATATGTATTAAATACACAATGTGAAAAAAAAACTAGATGTGATATTAATTATGATCAGATTAAAAGAATAGTTACCCATATTTAGTTGATCTAATGACTGCTACATGGGTAGCATTTGTTCCAGGAGGTATACGATCAATTTTTACGCTGAGTTGTCCTCCCATCAATACAAAACTTTCTGGATGAAAACTTTGATCACTCAATACAACATTTATAGCTGCATTTTTTCCAACATTGTACAAAGTATACTGCGGAAAAAAATTAATAAAAAAAATCAGTAATGATTTTAATCGTTCAGTTTATGAGCATTCTATATTTTAAATGAAAAGTATGTCAAATATAAGTTTACAAAGATTTTTTCATTTTAACACGTTTTACATTACTAAAAAACATTTGAATTTGTAAATAATTTTTTTAATTATTATGTGGGCAGATAATAAATACACAAATGTAAATGTTTGAATGTACAAATGAAATACGTTGTTTAATCGTGAGATAAGAATTCAAAATTACCTTTAATAATATGTCCATGTCTTCAACCAAATATTTATTAAGAATTTGTTTGGAGACTAAAAGTCGAGCTCCAGAAGAATCATCTTCGCTGGAGCATTTAACAATTGAAGAAATTCCTAATATTAATAAAAGTATATAATTCATTTTGTACAAAGTACTCTTTTGACGAACACCTGTAAAATTCCACGTAGCGCCAACGTGCTTTTAGAATAATCTGTTTTTTTAGTATACGTGAAATTTATGGGCCCCAATAATTTCTTTTCATTAAAACGTTAATTTTTATTTTTAAAAGACAGAAATAAAACAAAAATTACCCAAAAAATTAAATAATATTTTTAATGCAATAAAATTTATAATAAAAAGTTAAAAAAATTAAAATTAATTTTCAGGGCCCTAATACGTGAGTAAAGTACAGTAACAATATTACAATTATTGAAGTTTATATAACAGTTTACGTTAAAATTATTTTTTTTATAAGTTAAAATATTATAGAATTGTAAAATTTCTGTTTGTGAAATATTTTTTTTTGGGAAAATTCAACCATGTTAATTTTTTAAAACGCTGTAATATTAAAATAATTTAACTATTCTTAGAAAAAAAAATTTTTTTCTATAAGTACTGCTACACATTAAGTATTTTTAATTTTGTTTTTTTTCAGATAATTAATATTTATTATACGGCATAAAGTCAATAATCATAAAATACGGTATGAATTCAGTTTTTGCACCAGGTAATTTTAAACATAATATTTTGTATTTTTGATTTATTGTTATTAAAAATTTAAAGAAAATTTTGTTTTAGGTACCTCACCGATTAAACGCAGCAAAAATAGTAATGAAGTTTGTTCGAGGAAAAAAGTTAGGCTTAGTGATGATTTTGAGGGTGGTGAAGAACAAGAAGAAGAAGAAGAAGTTGAAGAATCAGGTATAAATTGAAAATTACAAGCTTATTTAAAGTGTGTGTTTTTTATTTTATAGATTTTTATTAATACCTATTTTTTTATATTGTAGTGTCACTACCAACAGTTAAAAAAAGTTCCACTAAAAGTAAAGATCAAAGTTTTGCACAAAGATATATGGTAAGTAACAATTATTAATAAATTATCTATTTTAATAGTTATCAATAAACTATTTTTATTAATAATTATTAATCTTAAACCAAATTATACTCAAATTATCATATTAGTATTCTAAATGATTAGTAATTAGTATAATTTTTCAGTGTATATTTGTTGTAATTATTTAATTTTTTACCAAAATAGCATATTTTTAAAAATGTATTTGTATTTTTTCTACATATTATTTTGTTAATATTATAATTAAATAATTATTTTAAATTTTTTTTTGCAGCAAAAATTAGGCCACAAAGAAGGTAAAGGTTTGGGAAAATATCAAGATGGTATTATTGAACCTGTTGAAGCATCCAAGCAAATCGGTAAAAGAGGTTTGGGGTTTAAATCGGTCGAATTAGAAAGTGCACTTTTAAACTTTGATCCAAACAAAGAAACAATATCAATTGATGAAGAAGTTATTTGGTTACCTAATGCTTATAAAGATTCCATCTCTCAAGAAGTTTTAAATTCATGGGTAAAAACAGGTTATCAAGATAATTCTTACAATGAAGATTTATTTTGTCAAGCTGGTGTTGTCAGTAATATATTATCATCAAAGGTAAATATTTTCATTGTTTAAATTTTTTTACTTTTGCTAAATTATTTAAAATACTTTTTTTTTTTCTATTACAGAATGTTTTAAATAACATTGGAGAAAAAGATTTGAAAAATAGCAGGAGAAGAGCAAATCCATTTGAATCAATTTCAAAGGGTATTTTTATTAATAGGGCAGCTATGAAAATGGCTAATTTAGATGCAATTTTAGATTGGATGTTTACCAATCCTGTAGATTTAAATGGGGTAAGTTTTACTTTTTTGCTTTATTCTAAATATTTAGAAGATATAAAATTTTGTATTGTCTGTTATTGTATTCTTTTATCACAAAAATATATTATTATTATTACGATAAAAATAATTAATTTTACAATAGTTGTATTTTATTTTAGTCAATAGTTTAGTCATTTATGTACCTTGGATTTTTTTTTTCTTTTTAATAGGATAAAATTATTGACGATGAAAGTTTACTATATTTTGCTGACGTTTGTGCTGGTCCCGGAGGATTTTCCGAATATGTTTTTTTCAGAAAAAAATGGAGAGCTAAGGGATTCGGTTTTACATTGAGAAATGAAAATGATTTTATGTATGCATCAACCTTTCGAATTTTTTATTTATTATAATTATTACATCACGTGTATCACGTGTCGTGTCACGTAAATGAAATTCAATTAAAATAAAATGTACCGTAATATTTATTTAGGCTTAACGAATTTTGCGCCGGGCCATCAGAAACATTTGATCCGCATTATGGCGTCAGAGGTGATGGAGACATTTACGTTCCGGAAAACATCGTCAGTTTCAGGGATCACGTTTTACAACACACCGATGGAAATGGCGTCCATTTCATGATGGCGGACGGGGTAAAAAAATTTTGAATTCGTATAAATTAAGTTAAAAATAAAAAGAAAACTTATAAATATTCAAATTTCAGGGTGTTCCCATAGAAGAAAATTTTAACGATCAAGAATTGATATGCAAAAAATTATATTTGTGTCAATGTTTAGTAGCTTTAATGATTGTAAGAACCGGCGGACATTTTGTTGTTAAACTATTTGATTTATTTACTCCTTTTAGCGTAGGATTAGTTTATTTAATGTACAGATCCTTTCAATCTGTAACAATTATCAAACCTAATACTAGTAGGCCAGCCAATTCCGAAAGGTAATTAACGATTAGTTGTTATTTTCTTTTTATTTAATCTCATGTATTAGTTATAATTTTTGTTTTTTTTTTTTTTGTTTCAGGTATTTAGTATGCAAATACAAAAGAGAAGATTGTATTGATATAGCCAATCATCTGTTCGAAATAAATAAAAGGGTTCCTCGATACGAGGATAAAAAAGGAACTGACGTTTTGGAATTGGTTCCAATCGATGTTCTAACGAACGACAGTGATTTTTTCAATTACATAATTTTATCAAACACAAAGTAATTTAAATTTTTTTTATATTTTACACATTTAAAATAAATTAAATGGGTTTTTCATACGGATGGTAATAAAAGTAAAAAAAATTTTTTTACGTTGATTTTTTACAGAATAGGAAAAAATCAAATTGTCAGTCTTGACAAATTGGCTGCATTTAGCGAAAATTGTGATTTAAAAGAAGAACGACAACAAGAATTGCGGAAAACTTGTTTGAACAAATGGAAAATTCCCGACGAAGCGAGAGCCGAACCACAAAAATCCGATCCCGGAACCAAATGTTTAGAATTGTTTGGAAATTCATCCCTTTACGAATTTGAATGTTGTAAGATGAAAAAAAAAAAATTTTACAGAATTTTTTAAAAAATTATTTTTTTTAAACGTTTTTTTTTTTTTTTTCTTATAGGTTCCAAATCGATGAAAATTACAACGTTTGAAAATTTTAAAAAAAACGTAAATTCAGTATTAGATTGGCGTTTTTTATTAATAAATGGAAAAGAAGAAAAAAATTCTTGCGGTTTTTACATGGGTTTGGGAAGGAATAATATTTGGGAGTAATTAATTTTTATTATTATTATTATTATGACGGCGATTGCCAATAATGATTGTTAAAATACACATTCGCGCTTGTTTGAATAAAAAGTAATTGTACAAATAAAAATCTCTTTCAGGTACACTTCTAAAGGTTGGAAAAAATTAAATTCAAGCATAAACGGATTTTGTTTACCTGCTAATACAATAGTTTACGGAGAAATCGTCGAGGAATTGATAGGAGAAGGAAAAGGACAAACGAGGAATTTAGCTTTTCACATAATCGATGGGTTGTTTTTGGGAGGGGAAGATATTAAAAATTTTTCTCTTGTTAAAAGGCAAGATTACATGGGTTTTTTTTTTAAATTTTTGCGTTTGTTTTTGTCGTTATGGATTTAAAACAAAAGATTGACGTTTTATTTTTTTTTTTATTATAAATATAAAATTATTTTTTTTCTTTTCCCCTCATTTTATTCATTAATAATAATTATATTTTTAGGTGGTCGTTGTGCGAATTGTTTTCAAAAGCTTTATACAAGAAAAGTTTTCCAGTTCGAGTGAAAAAAACGTACAAATTATTGAAATTCGATGTGATGATTGAGGATTTGGTGTACAAATTAAATAAATCTTCTGTATCGGAAAGTCTTTATTTTCCATTAGAACAAAATTTGGCGTTTAAAATCGGCGGAATAGTTTTTTTTAGAGATACCAAAGGTTCGTGTGCCTGTGCGTGTGCCTGTGCGTGTGCGTGTGTGAGAATATTTTTTTTTTTTTTAAATAAAAAAATGATATTAAAACTTTTTAATTAATTTTTTTGTTGTTGTTAAATTTATGGCAAAACATAATAAATAAATTATAATTTCAGAATTTTGGCATAGATTTTATAGTTCAACTTGGAAAGCTGTTTATTTTCATAACAGTCAAACGAATAAAAAAATTTATGAAAATCATTTAACTGACGATGATAAATGGAACATTTACGGAAAATTTAGGTAATAATAATAACGTCTTTTGTAATTTACTTCCTACGGTTTATTTAAAATCATAAAATTGTACTACTCGGACGTAAATAAATAAATATTAAGGGATTTTTAATATTTTCATCTAACTTTCATTATTATTATTATTATTATTATTATTATTATTATTATTATTATTATTATTATTATTATTATTATTATCATGTTTCAGCGATAATTTTCAAGAGAGGATGATTTTTTGGTGGGATACGGACGTAACATTGACACCCGTACAAACAATCGTCGAAAATTCAAATAAAATTATTATTAAAGAAATATCTAGATTTGTTAGTAAAAGTATTAATAATATTTAAGTACAAAATTATTATTATTATTATTATTATTATTATTATTATTATTGGCGATTTATAATAAATTGATACGGCCAATTAACATTCATTATCTTAAACAAACACAAACAAACAAGGAGTTTTTTTTAAATAAGAATCTCTTAATATTTAAAAAACGAATCTCATTTTTCGTTTTTTTTTTTGTAAAAATTTAGCTTAAAATTTTTAAGCTCATTATTATAATTTTTATATTAATATAAAAATAAAAGTAAATGATTGATTGTGACTATGATGGAAAAAAAAAAAAAAAATTTTTTTCAACGATTATTTAAATTAAAAGGAAAAAAATGAAAAAAACTTTAATTAATTTGATTATTTTATTAAAGAATATATTTATATATATTTTTTTTTCTTTTTTATATTTAACAATAATATAAATATACCTAAAAAAAAATTATTAATTAATAATACAATTTTAAACGAAAATAATTAATTCATTTAATCGTGGTATATTATTATTATTATTATTATTATTATTATTATTATTACAAACTACAATTATTTTGTAATTAATTGAAAAAAAAAAAAAAAAATTTTTTTCTCATTTAAAACTATATATATTTAAAAGGAACCTGAGTTACAAATAAAATTCGAAATTTTATTATTTATTATTATTATTATTATTATTATTATTATTATTATTTTCCTACTAATTTTTTTGTCATCATCATTATTATTATTACTGTTAATATTATAATAAAATTTTATTTACAATATTTATTAAATGTAGTAAGCGAACAAATATTTGAGATACAATTAATTTATTATAAAATATTAATAATTAAGCACACAATAATAATGATAATTATATTGTTGATGATGATGATGATGATAATATTATTAAACACCGCAAATAATAATAATAATAATAATAAATTCAAAAAAATATTTATTTTTAATTTATTTATATATATTTTTTTTTCTCTCTTTTTTTTTTGGGGGGGGGGGTTCGAAAAATAAAATTTTAAATGCATACACTTATATGATTATTATTATTATTATTATTATTATTATTATTATATAAAATAATTTTTTAATCACAATTTGTAAAAAATAAAAATCGAATTTTATTTGAAATATTTTCACAAAAAAAAATTAATTTTTCTCGATGACAGAAGAATATCGCGACAGAATTCATTTTATAATAAATAAATAAATAAATAATAATAAATAATAAATAATAATAAATAAATTTTTTTTTCGTTTTTATAATTATTAAGAAGAAAAAAAATAAAAATTTACTCCACGATTAAATTAATAATAATAATAATTTGATTTTATTATTATTATTATAAAGCAAAATATTTGTTTTTTTTTTTTTTCATTATTATAATTTTTAATATTATTATTATTGCATTTAATTAATATAATTTAATAATAATAATCTACAAATCAACAACAACAGTAACAACAACAACAACAGCAATAACAACATTAACAAAAATATAAAACAACATAAAAAATCATCTCAATTGTCTTGCTAAATAATTTTCTTTTTCTTTTTCTTTTTTTTATTAAATCTAAACAATTTTCTTCTTTTTTTTTTTAATTAATTAATAAATAAATTATTAAAAATAATTTTTTTTAATAATACTGTTTTTGTTTTGAAATAAATTACAAAAAAAAAAAAAAAAATATGAAGAAAAAAAAAGGAAAAAAAAAAAATTTTTTTATTGAATGAAATGAATCCAGTTGAAATCCAAATTTTTCATTTTTGATATTTTTCTATATTGTCATCACAGAACAGTTTCCATTTCTGCTATTTCTTTTGCATATGAAAGATCGTAAGGTCTATAAAAATTAATCAATAAAATAAAATAATAAATTCTTTTTTTTTTTTTTTTACATTTTATTCTTTTCGTGTAAATAATTATTTAAATTAAAAAAAAAAAGTAAAAAGTTATAAATATAATTGTGTGTATATACATTTTCAATTTGTAGAACAAAAGTCATAGAGTATGAAAACAATCAATTTATTATACTACACAATCGTTTGTTTACTTTTTGATATTAATTTTTGTTAAAAGAAAACTAATTTTTTTTGTTTTTTTTTTTCAGGTTTAATCGTTAACTATATCTTACCGATAAATTGAATAAGGTTCGGAAAAATAATCCTTGTGATTAGTCAATGATACGCAATTCCAAAACCAAAATCTT